GAAACAGGAAGAAGACAAAGAGGAGGATGTTAAGGTAAATGGTGACCTTGACACATCAACAGAGCAGGAGGTTCCCACGGAAGCCCCGCCTCCCATCCCTGCCTCTCTCCCACCCACTGAAGGTATGAATATGCATGAATTTCACACAGCTGTCGTGAATATTCTAATAAGTTTAGTTACCTGACTAAAGACTAAAGGTCAGTTTCATGTTTATTTGCACCACATATAGGACTTTGACTATCCTGTGAGGAAGCTATCCAGCTAGCTTATGGAACGTCAGTGCTTCTACCCAGGTGAATATTTGTGCCTGAGGTAATGCACCGAAGGGCACCTGAGGTCTTCCTCCACCAGTAAAGCTGGAAAGTTGCCATATGACGTATACTCATAATACTGTGTTGGTGCTACTTAGAACCGAATTGAAACAAACTACTGACTGTTGAATTGTAGGTTTGAATCATGGGGGAGATGTATATTCTCTGTACTGAGTCAATTCTTATAACAATAATGTTGTATGATTAAAAAAAAAAAAAAAAAAAAAATCACAGATTTTGATAAAAAGTGACTATATTTATGTAGATGACAGTAAGGATAAGGAAGACAGTAGTCAACAGAAAGAGGAGAAAGATAAAGATGAAGAGGAAAAAGATAAAGAAGGGAAAGACAGTGACAGCGATAGTGATTCAGGGCTTTATCAAGTCCCGCCCCCTGCCAAACCTGTAGCCGACGATCTTCCTAAAAACTATTTATATACTGTAAGTATATAACTGATGATTACAGTTTTTTAGCATTCTGAGAGTAAAAAGTTATTCTGTTGTTATAAAAGATAATGTTTTATTTTGTTCAGGGATAAATCATTTGATACAGTCTGAAAGTAAGAGAAAGGTAAACTTATGAAATAATTTGATGAAGTTGCCATGTAACCTTGACCGTTCTGATTTTACTTGAAACCATGCAAACTTGACAGTACCGGTGTTGCTACTTGTCAACATAAAATGTTGCTTGTTCTGGTTTTGCTGGTTACCAGGCAACCTTGACAGTTATTGTGTTACTGGTTACCATGTTACCTTGTCATTTCTTGTGTTACGGGTCATCATGTCACCTTTACAGTTCTTTAAAAACTAGTTACCTTGTTACCTTGGCAGTTCTTATGTAACTGGTTACAATGTTACCTTGACAGTTCTTGTTTTACTGGCTACTTTGTAACTATGACAGTACTGGTGTTACTGTTTACCATGTAACCTTGACAGTTCTTGTGTTACCATGACCTTGACAGTTCTTGTTACTGATAACTCATCTATTATTTTTTTATTAAATCATTCAGGTGATAAATCATTCTATATACATGTATATAAAATTCCTTGAATGTGTTTTGTAAGTAAGTTAATGATATAAGCATGTTACATTAGGAGAAAACAACGAACCCTGAGGAAGAACAGTTGCCTCCGAATTATCTTTTCTCTGTAAGTATAATTTATGTAACAGGGTACCTTTGGTCTACCGTAGATCAGGATCTGCTAAAAAATTATTATTCACTGCTGTACAATTTACATACTGAATGCTGTAGTCTTTTGAGTGAAATGATGAATATTACAAATGTAAGGGAGACAATTCAGGTACATGTTGTACTTCACCAAGGGAGAGAATTTATGTAAACTGAAGTATAATACAATACTGTTAAGCATTATAAGACCAAAATGCTTTCAAATGCTTGTAAGCATTTAATTAAGACGTTTGCAAGTGAACTTTAAATAAGTTTTTATGTGTATAAATGAACTTGCACACATAAGTCCATCGTTGGGGTACAAGATTTCAATATCAGAATGCATATACTTACTTAATATTTATTATTATATGGACATGAAATTTCGTGGTTCTGACACACAGAACAATTTCATGGGTACTTCAATTGTAAGTAAAGTCATGCAAAAAAATAGTTTACAAAACGAAATTTGTTGGATCTTAAATTTGTTGATTGACCTATCCATGAAAAACACGAAAATTAGTGCCCCACGAATAATTATGATTTTACAGTATATGAAAATATATGAGAATGGGCTGTCTCTTAAATGATGACATAGGGCTTCTGCCATATAAGCTTGACATAGGGCTTCTGTCATATCAGCTTGTATTTAGAGATTTAAAGGTATCCTGTTAGCTTCCAAACCCTTAACCCAGATCAGCCTTACCATTCTTAAAGTCTGCATGATTTGAAAAATGTGGTAAGATTTGTATATTCATGTGGGTACTTTTATTAGTGTTGCATGCTATGAGGGTAATATATAGGGAAATATGTATAATGTCTTTGGGCCGTGACACATCAAATAGCAATTATCTGATTTGATAGTTTTATAACTAACAAATTTAATATATGCATATGGCTAATAGATCCATGACATAGGAAGAGAGACGATCGCATTTGACTGAACTTAACTTACTATATTTATATGCTTTCGGCTTTTTGTATATACACATGTACCCGATGGGATGGCATTGGAGCCGAAATATATAAGTGAAAGCATTGCCTGATATAAATTGGTCACACTTTATGTAATATCCATGTCGCGACTTTGACGGGCTGGTGTGACTATAAGACTATAATTGAAGTCTAGCTCTATCACTACTGTCTCTTTATGTGATATATTTCTAGACCTTTGTAAATGTTTAGGTAGCTTCAATGAATATCATGCCGGCTGTTCATTAATGTGAATACATGTAGGCTTCTCATGTTTTTCTTAAGTTTTTCAGTCTTTATTTACCCTTACCACACTAAATATCTTAAATGGACTTGTCCATCTTTCAATCTGGACACAACCATTTATACTTAGGGAAATTTAGACTGAGTAAACTAAATAGGCAAGGGGAAGAAGTTTTTTAAAACCTATTACAATGCAAATACTTAAATGGACTTGTCCTTTTTTTAATTGATTTTGATGAATAGCAAACATGCAGCCATAAACAGATGGCACGATGGGCCCCTGTTTTGGTCTACGGGTTTTCATGGGGAATTTTTGGTGCCAACAGTTTGAGGGGAAAAGTTATTATCTTCAACTGTGGAGAGGTAGAAGTTCTAAGTTCTGCTTGATATATTTATATATTTATTCTACATTTATACTCCTGAAGAAATTCATAGGGCTTGCCCACCTGGTAACCAATTAAAAATTCATTTTCTGCACCTCCCTTCCAACCACTAGAACCATTGTCCCTTATCACTGACAATGTAGAACCATCCTCAAAAGATATGTAATTTCAGAATATTTCACCCTCGTTTAACTTACATTGTCTTTAATCTATTTTGCAGATGAGTCTATGTCTATTTTTGTGTTCATCTTAAAAATAAGAAAAATTCTTTGATATGTTTGTATATAATCAGTTCAATGAAAACGAACACTTTTCTTTACCTTTCGATGTTTAGTCTTCTTCAGAAAAAAATTAATGTTTATAAAATAATAAATGATTTATCTTTTTTGATATGTTTGTGAAAGAGTTAAAAATACTTAATAGTTCTAAGCACAGTTAGCCATCATTAGGTCATGCTTTAGTCTAAGTTGCAACTTTTATAATGTCTCAGATGTATCATTACTTTAAAAAAAACCCCAAAAGAACCCAAAAAACAAATCTTTTATATAGAAGGTATTTTATTAATTTTCTATTTTAATACTTCTATAATATTTCTTATTTTGTTTCATCTTAAACATCAGTGGTTATCATTCTTGTTTTTTGCCAGTCTCTTGCCCTTGAACTCTGTAGTTTCAAATATTGAAACATGATTATAGTGTGTAGAAATGATATAGTGAGTATGCCAAAGGTCAATGGTGGTTGACTTAAACCACTTGCCCCTCACCACTGTTGGTTCAAATCCTGATAGGATTCTTTCATGTGAGGTAGCTATCAAGCTAGCTTATGGAACGTCGGTGGTTCTACTTAGGTCACTGTTAATGCCTGAAATAATCCATAAAATAATTCAAGGAGGGGACACTGCCAAATTCCTTAACCAATAGAATTTGAACAATCGCCTTATTTGCTCATTAAAATGGTAAAATGGTACAGTCGACATTGTATTAAGAGACCACTCAAGGGACTGCCAAAAAGTGGTCTCTTAATAAAGTGGTCTCTCAATAGAATTCTGGAAAATTCGAGACTTTTTTTATTACAAGTCATTGATATAATAACATCTTTTTATAAAAACAAAAACTGTAAAATATTATGTATGTATTACAGTTTCATAATAACATTTATGCCTTTTTTTTAAAAAGTAATCAATATGCGTTTGTTTTTAGTAGAACTTTGTGTACAAATGTGATCTACGCTCATAATACTATCAACAGGTCATTTGACCATGAAACAAAGCATATTGTCTTACATATTTTTCATATGTTCATACACATTTCCTGCTAAACATACTTTCGAATCATCAGCCAGAGCTCCAGATAATTTTTTATGCAATGAGTTTTAAACTTCTTGAATTTTTCAGCAATTAGTTTTCACACTACCCCGATTTCAAATTCAATAAGGTTTTTAGAGATCTAGGATTTTTTGTCTTTTTTTTGTCGAAGGGTCATATTTAATTGGGTACTACATGTATTTTATAAAGCATCAGATGAGCACCTACACCATCAGCTCGGTTCTGTAATGTTTAGTCCACTACGTTTCACGATTTTATTTCGACTACAAACGATGACATTTGCTATTTACTCAAACTCAATTCCATGCACGATTTCCTCATTCAATTTATCCGGTCTTATTAGTTGTCTGTTATTTTTTCGCTCGTTCCGACGTCATTTTCGATAAGGGAGGTCACTCTAAGCACATGACAAAACTATGCAAATGCGGTTTTGTGATACGTTATTGCTCTGACAAAATATGTCACAATAAATATTACAATCTTGAAACGATTGCAATATTCAATTATTTTTTCAACTACATTTATTTGTGACCAATGACCATGAAAAATATTTGTTTGTTTGCTTGTACACATCAAACCTACTGCTGATTACACAGGTGAGAATGCCTGTAGGGACGATTGTTTGTCACGGCCGTTTAATAGATACTTTAACACTTAATTTTGTACTTTTGGGCCGACATTTAGTGGCCGCTGGCCGCGATATAAAATCGTCGTTTAATGGAATTAAATTATATAGTAAAAATCATCGGGAGGGATTTTATGCGGCCGCTAAATAAAAAAGTCGCTTAATAAAGGTGGACGCAAGTACGATTTCGACTGTAGTTTAAAAAAAGAAACAACAGGGAGCAATCTGAAAGGAATATATTAACATTATTTTTGTATGTTTTATACAGGTCATAGCAACACACTGCTACAAAGGCGAGGATGAGGATGAGATTTCATTTGATGCTTCCGAAATTATCTATGTTGTCGACTATGAAGATCCTGAAGAACAGGTTTATAATATTTTTATTTATTTCTATTTTTCTTATTTGTGAATACTGTGAAATTATAAATTTGTTCACACTGGTTAAATTTTCTTTCTTTTAGAGGTCAAATTAAATGTGAAACGAAGATTGCATGAATAAATGTATTTTAATGCTAAAAAAGTGACAATGAAAAGTCTGCCCATATAAGTACTCATGTGAAAATTCCAGGAAATGAACTGAAGAAAAAAATAGATAATTTCACAAATTGAACTGAACTAAAAAAGATAATTTCACAAATTGAACCGAACAAAAATAGATAATTTCACAAATTGGACTGAACAAAAATAGATAATTTCACAAATTGAACTGAACAAAAATAGATAATTTCACAAATTGAACTGAACAAAAATAGATAATTTCACAGTAGTTTACAATTTTAGTACTTTATGTTTCAATGTCTGTCTGTCTGTCTGTTCTTTTGTCTTTAAAGCATTTCTAGTGAATTTATTTTTGCAAGCTGTAGAGCAATGCTATAGATTTCTTTTGATATTTCTTGGAAATGTTGCATTTCTAATTATTTCTTATTTGTTTTGTTCCCTATTTGTTTTGCATCACTTTTAGTTTTATTTGATATTTTCCATTGCTTTTAGTCCTTAAGAACTTTTTCAAAATGAATTTAGTGTTTCTTTTTGTTGCTTATTTAGCATACACTTTGTCTCTCTGCATTGTGGAAAAGTTTTATAATTACACTTTTGAAAATGCTAGGACTTTAATAAGCTATAATACAGCCTAGCACTGTAGTTAAGTCATTAACTATACAGGCTGTTGGTTAGATTGTCTTACAGTAGAATACAAATTTACAACTTTGTTCATAAAGGCGAAATGACATCATCATAAAAACACAGTTTCATTTTAAAATGTGCCAAAATGATTCATTTTGGAGCATGTAATTCATGTCAGTCTCATAAGCAAGAAAACAGTTCTCTGCTGTTGAAAATTAATTTTCTGAGCCTGAGAATTAACTGTTCTCCACAAGACATGTTTGAATCAGTTGTAAAAACAGAAGTGTTTTCTATTGCTAATTGTTACCTTTGAATAAAACTGATGTAGCTACTTGTACACAGGGTTTTCATTATTAACAGATTGGAAATCCTTATCATCATTTGAAATGCTGTTAGAATCTGCTGTATTTTCAGCCTGTAGAATAAAATACATGTATAGCCCTTGACCCTTTGCCAAATTGGTTGTTTTCATTGGCACATCTGTTGCCCAAGATAAAAATTAAAAACTCTCTGTACATAAATTTTGTGTTACAGCAACAAAAATGTTTTAGAGATATATTTTATAATGAGAACAATATGCATATACCCCAGTTTCTAAGATAAATTATTTATGTTAAAAGAATGGAAAACAACCTAGGTAGTGACAATGATTTTCTATATAAAACTTGTACATTTTCAGTTCCGCGGTATAATAGTTGTATGTACCAATTATGTTTAACTTATTTATTTTTTGGAAATATTGTTCACCTTTATTTATCTTTTGGAAGTATTGTTCACCTTTATTTAAATTATTGGTGTATTTTTTTGTTTGAAATATAAAGAAGGGTGTAAGAGGAGACACTAACAACACCTATGGCTAACAAAGGAAACATTTCAGCTTGCCTTTATTCTGTAGTCTGTATGCCCACAATAGTGAGTTTGGATTCTGACAGGGACTTAAGATACTTTCATGTGAGGAAGCTATCCAGCTAGCTTACGGAATGTCAGTGGTTTTACTCAGGGGCCCGTTGAAGCCTGAAATAATGCAGGGAAGAGCACTACCAGTAAAGATGGAAAGTCACCATATAACCTATACTGTGCTGATGCGACTTAAAACGCAACAAAAAAAAAGAAAAGAAAATGAAAATTAAACTTGGCAGGTAGAAAATTAAATGGCAGTTAAAGTGATGGCATTAATTACAAACCTTTTAATCTGGATGAAACCATTCATCATTTTTAGTGAGAATTTCAAAATATGTATTAATTGAATAGCAAAAGGTGCAGCACACAAGGCAATTGTAGCGCTACGAAAACTAAAATGAAGGCGAGAGGGGCTACAGATTAAATTATGATTTTATAATCTTTGAGTTTTGTGTGACTGCAGGATTTATTGCTAGCCAGAATGTTTCCCTTGTTGACCTTTAAAATATGTTCATTCACAGATCTACCCAACATGATTTGGTTGCAGGTTCTTCTTACTAAGATAATTCATCATTTATTAGATTTAGACAAACACAAACTTATTACTAGATTGACTAATTATGTGATTTTTCAGGTGAAAAAGTTGCCAGTTTAATATATGTGTAAAATAATGATGTTAACTTTTTTTGTACATTTTCAAATGATTTTATCTGTCCCAAAAAGGAAGTAATTATGATGAATGAGAATAGATTACATCTGCAAACTTAGGCCATTTTATTTTCCATTCTTTAATCGAAAGAAAAATGCAAAATCAAAATATGATATTAAGATATACTGATATTTCAAATGTTGTATATATTTATAAACTGGCATCTTATGGCCTCATTTGTCACATATTCATTACTTAGTTTTAGACGTAAAATTTTGATAGTTTGTGTAAACATACATTTCTGATAAGTGCAGTTGATGTGCATTGATGTACAGGGGAGAATAAGGTCTTTCTGAACTTGGATGTTTTAGAGTTACAGACATTGGCATCTCACACACTTTTCTGTGATTGAACAGTATGTCTTAAACCATACATCCCCTTAAGCTGTTAAATATGATGAATTTGGCAGAAACTTTGGGATAAACTGGTTGGTTTAGGGGATAAACTGGTTGGTTTAGGGGATAAACTGGTTGGTTTAGGGGATAAACTGGTTGGTATATGGATTAACAAGTTCACTTTGGGGTAAACATGTTGACCTGTGGATATTAACATGATAGCTTGGGGATAAACAGGTTGACTTGAGGATTAACAGGTTGACTTGGGGATTAACAGGTTAACTTGGGGATTAAGAGGTTGACTTTGGAATAAACAAGTTAATATTTGTACAGAATAAAATCATGAACACTGCCTCCACTTGGTTGAAGGAAATACTTATAGAAAATGGAACAAGAAAGAATTTTAAGCAATAAAGATACATATGGTTTAAAGACTCTTGTGTATAAAATTTGTAATTTTTGTCTATGGTGTTAAATAGTAATATAGAATATTAAGACATTAAAATAATGTTACAGAAGAAAATGCTTGAAAAGAAGTCGACAGAGAAAGTGAGTTATAATTATCAGTATAAGCCAAATTTAACCCACTGTATTGAGAATTCATTTGTGCTAAAGTTAATTTATATGAATCCTCTAAAATATTTTTATGCTTTCACCCAGGTTCTACTTAAGTACATGTTCATGCTGTTGAAAAAATATGTAGGAATCCATTGTGTGGCATCTGTTTGTCTTTTGTCTTGCCCTTTCATTTGAAAAATTATCAAAACAAAGATTTGAGAACCTTGCAAGTAAAAACTGGTTGTGAATAATATTTGATTCTTGTGTGTGTCATTCTTTCCATGTGTGGAATTTGGCATGTCTCTACTGGAGGATACAGGAAAGGGATTAATCATTAAAGTTTGATCATTGACTTTATACAATGTTGTATTTTAATAAGACATAGCATTGTCTCATTACTATGTTATATGTTTAATTAATAAGACATGGCAGCTTTAAAAGATTGTTTGTTAACATATTCATGTGTCTGTACACATTTGAACTCTCAATACACATATGTTATATATATATGTATTTAAATATGTCATGGCAGGTTACAAATAAGGCTAAACTTCAATTATTGTGTATTATCTAACAGTCACATTACTATTGATATCTTATATTCATACAACAATATTGGCCCAGATAGAATTATGCTTTGTACAGGGCCCAAAGTTAGAATTTAGGAACCAGTCCAGAATGGCTCTTTCTCATTGGTCCATTTTAAATTTGAATGAACCAATCAGATACAGTAGTCAGGGACTAGTTCTTTAACTAAATTGTGATAACCTTGGGCCCAGCGTTGTAGACTTTTATCAGTTGAATATCTGTTTACATAAATATTGTAAATGATAATACAAATATTTTTTTTTTAATATTTTTTTTTTAATTTTAGTGCATGATATTTAAAACTATTTTTTTTATTTTATTACAATATATGAATGTTTTTGCATGGTATTTTTAGATTCTTTTGAAATTAGATGTATTTGAATACTTAGTGTATTCTAGGCTTTCTAGGCTTAGTGTGAAATGGTTTAACTTTAATATAAAAAAACTGTTTCACACTATGTCTTTGTTTTATTCTTAGTAACTCAGCATGTAAAATTGCATGAAATGTACTGAGCAACATGTAGAAAATGGTGAATTTTCTTATTTTGTATGAACTAGTCTTAACACACATGTATACCACTCTCATCTCCTCTTACATTCTATATTATAATGTCATTTATTTGTTAAAATCCTTATGGTTTTTGTGTTATTTTTTTAAAAGGGAGATATATTACTCCTTTTTTGCATTATTTCTTTGATATTATTGTATATATTAATATTAAAATGGAAAATGTTACTTGATAAATTTTGTAAATAAATATAATCATTTGTGTTTTGTAATTCAAGATAATTAATGAAAGAAAGCAGTGGAAATTTACATCGAAGCTTCTTTTTGCCTTGTATTTAAGAGGCCTCCTTGGCAAATCTTTTAAGGTTGTTAACTTATTTCCTCTTTCCACTATGTGTTTGAATCCAGCAAGGAACTTAGGATTGTTTTCATGTTAGGAAGTTATCCAACTCACAGACAATTGGTGTTTTTACTTGGGTGCCCTGTTAAACCCAGTATTATGCCAGAAGGGACACTGGAGGTTTTCCTCCATTAGTAAAAGATTGTATTACGCAATATAAATTTACAGTTTCATTGTGACAGAGATTTTTGTTACTCTTTGGCAAACTGTTTGTCAAGCATTCATAAGCCTTTGATTTTGTGAATGTTTGATATTAAGCATTTAAAATGTGCTATGTTGAGTATTTTTTTATGGTAAATCTTTGATAGATTCAGTTAATTACTATAATGATTGACCTTTGATTAAGGTCAAGGTCAACAAGATTCCTGATAAAGATAAATAAAAAAAGGACAAGCTTTAATCCTAAAAAATAAGCTCTAACTCTAAAAAATTCATAACATACATTGGCCATTGGTTAAATATTGGTTTAATGTTTTAAATCATTTGATTCTTGATAAAGGTCAATAGATAAAGGATTTGTCAAGGTCAAATTCTCAATATTCATAGCATTGGCCATTGATAAGTTAGAGAAGTGGTTTATTGTATTTTATGAATACAAAATATATAGAGAATGTATGTGTAATTTTTAGGCACCATTATGCTTTCTTAAGCCTTGGCAGTTGCGGTTTTGCGCTTATATCTAGTGCTAGTCGTTAGCTTATGAGGTCAATGTAGCTGTTTTTCCTTCTTTTCTTTATTTCACCTTATTTTGTTTAATTTCAACAAACATGACTACAATAATTGTGTTGCTGTATAATAATTAATTTCTTGCTCTTTATGTCTTGAAATTTTTCCATCGATAATGAAGATGGTACTGCATATGTTCAATTATTTATTGCGATATTTTGTAATAATTTATGAAAATGGGGTATATTTCAGGACCCAGGCTGGTTGATGGGCGTGAGGAAGTGTAATGGACAGACCGGAGTCTTCCCAGAGAACTTCACTAAGAAAGTATAAGTGCTGGTTACCGTGGAAACATGAAGTTCCGATCGCTGGAAATGCTCGTGCATTTGAGAGATAATACTCAGTATGGTAGTGGTTTATAAATTATGTTGTAGGGAGGTAAATGAGATAGATTTTAGAGATGAGATAGATTGTAGAGGTATTTTAGAGGTAGATTTTGTATATAAAGTTCACGATGGTTCTTGCAATATACTAATTGAAGTGTACAGGACAAATATACTCCCTCATAAACATGTGTAGTACAACTTCCACTCATATGAAAATACAAATGTTTTTATATTTAAATATATATTAAATATGTTATTTTTTCTTCTTTTATATAAAAAAGAAATATTTTAAGATATAGTTTTATTTGATTTGATTATTTTTTTTATTTTTTTTTTAATATATAACTTAAGTATGCCTCTTTCTCATTATTATATGCCAGTGACTTTTGAAAAAAAATGTTATGTTATTTCAAGGTTGACAAATATGAGCTGATAAAAGAATAAAACATTAACAATAATATATGTCTGCAAGATGTATATGGTAAACATCTTTGCAAAATTGAATGATGTTAAAAGATCCTAAAATAAGATCAGAAAAATTATCGTGCCAATTGGTGATTAAAAGTTCTTCCTTTTAAGACAATTCTTTTGTAATATTATGTTTCTCTGTGACATGTCAAAAATGTTGTTCATGGAAAAAGGAAAGTTGCTGTCAACATTTTAATTAAGCATTTGACCAATTGCTGATTTTCATGATAAGAGGTTTTGGAAAATGAGAAAGTGGCATATATTTTTTTTACATTTTTTTTAGTTTTGTTTGGTCGTAAATTGGTCAGACTGTGACCAAAGTGTTCTAGATTATATGAGGTAACTAAAAGCATTAGATTTTTTTTCTGAAAACTTTATTATTTTTATTAAGGATAATATTTTGAAGAAGAAAATGCCCACCTCTTGTAGAGGGTACATGTATAATTGCTGCTGCATTGCATTCTTCATTTGATATTGAAGATTTGTCACTGTTTATTTAGAGTTTTTTTTATAAATGGTATTTAGTATGTTTATTAACATCAGCATTCAACGCAAATATAAGTTAAATGCCATATGCTTATTTTAGATTTTTTTTATCTGTTATATTTTACCCAAATTATTTTGATAAATGATAAATTTTATATTACACATTCCACTATAACAATCATGTTTTCCAGTTTTCGCACATATCTGGCCACATAAGGCTATACTAAATTATTATATCGTAAAATATTTATGTAGAAAATATGCAAAGAATATTCTATATGAACTATATTTGTCATTTTGTTTATGTATAAATTGTTTGAATAAAATAAATATTATGAATTATAAATTATGTGACAAAATTATTGTCATGAAAACAAACACATATATAATTATTATATACGCATATTGTTTTTACTATTTTGTACATAATCATTGATTCTTTTTTAAGGATTGCTACACAGTATTTTCATTTTAACATTCATCGTGACGGAATGTGTATGAAATGCTCTTAGAATGTGCCATAAAATTTTTATCTCACAAATATTGTAAACTTTAGTTTTCATGATGAACTAACTTCAATTTCAAGTTCTTATAAGTTTCTAAAATTGCAGACCAGTCACATCAGGATGACATTAATTTAAAGATTCATGACAACCAGTCTACAGGAAGTACTCTTCCATTGGCTTATTTTGAAATTTGAAATTTAAAAATTGACCAATGAAATATGTAGACTTGTATGAAACTTAGAATTTGACACTTTTTCTGCATTTTTGCAATTTTGGGAATAATTGTGCTTAAAATTTGTAGTCAAAGCTTCAAAAGGATGTTTCAAAAATGTGATTAAAGATTTTTTTTAAAGAAAGTTTGTGTGAATGAATACAAAATGTACTTCCATATTGTAATTGTCTTCCAATATTGTCATGCACTGATTACCTCATAATTGTGGTTATGTTTTTGTATGAAAGGTTGCTATGTATATTTTATATGTGAATATATATTGACTTAATGTTGTGGACCAATGTATTTTAAAAATTTATCAATGTTATTGTTTTTCATTTTTCTAAGAGGCTTTTTTGTGAAAGGCAATGTTACGATTTACCACTTTCAGGAGTCCGAGATTCTTATGTAAAGGTGGACATAGTTAAGAAAAAGAAATGTGACAGAAGCTAAAAGGAGCTGAAATTGTCTAGCTTAACGCGATTTTTTGGCGCATGTCATATTTGGAAAAATGAAATATATTTTGAAAGGTTAAAGCAAAATAATGCTTGGCCTGTCTGCTTATGAAGAATACAGCATTCGATGCAATAATTAATTTAGTTATTAGGTCATTTTGTTGCTATTTATAGTAACATGTTTATTTATAGTAAAACATGTACATGTTTAAGAATTATAGTAAAGTATAGGGTCATACATTATCATTAGCATGAAAAGAATAGGAGAAAGGATATTTACACGTTCATTTGATATCATTCTTCCCATACATAGCTGTAAAATACACTTTATGTACCAGGGTACATGAAATAAAATCTAGAACTTCCATTTTTGTCGCAGTATAATGTCTTTCATTGAGTCAAGATCTCTGCCTGTTTTCTTGTTTTTAGAATTAGTTGAAGTATGTACACAATAGTTAAGTTTAAACACAAAGTTCAAAAGGGCCCTGACTGTTGCATTTTCATTTAAACTAAGGTCACCTGTCCAGAATTCATTCAGTGGTTACCTCCCCCTGTATGGTTGTTGTTTGTGTATTCTATTTTTAGAATGTGTAGATTTTTTTATGACATAATGGCATATTCTTGAATTATATAGCATATTTTCACTGTGTAATCTATATTTGAAGCCAGTATGTATATAAATGAATCCTGTATATTAAATATAGCTTATGTATAAATTGGTCAGAAATTTGTGAAATAAAAAAAAAAGTTGCCTAAATATTATATTACCTAAAAGTTGATATTTCTCCATTTAGATCATTTACACTGTAGTTGTGCTTCCAATTTCCCACCATTTAGTGCTTTTAAAAAATCATTAAATTCAAATTAAAACACTATGTAAGATACAAATTTGAATGAGGATTTCTTTTAAACACTAAGATAAATATTTAATTGTAGATTTCATTGAAACACAAAGTAAGATACAAATTTAAATGTAGATTTCTTTAAAACACTATGTAAGATACAAATTTGAATGTAGATTTCATTGAAACACTATGTAAGATACAAATTTGAATGTAGATTTCATTGAAACACTATGTAAGATACAAATTTCAATGTAGATTTCTTGGAAACACTAGCTGTAAGATTACAAATTTAAATGTACATTTCTTTGTAACACCCTATATTAGATACAAATTTGAATGTAGATTTCATCGAAACACCATATGTAAGATGTATAAATTTCATGGAAAGACTATAATTATGTAAGATACAAATTTGAATGTTACTATTCTGAACTGGGTCTAAAAATTACATTTTTTGTACAGTTTTGAAGTTTATAGAATTAGATCATGTCATGTATATAGGTATACACACATTTATTAAATAAGCATATTAAGTTTATTCATGTTAGAAAGTATGGAATCATTTTTCTCTACTCAACAGTGTTTAAGGTTTTCATTTAGTATACAAAATTTTATATATTCCAAAAACTTAATTTCTCAGAAATCTCTTTCATGTTTTTCACCAGAATTGCATAGATGTTTTACACTCACAGAAAAGTACTAGGGTTTAGTTGAAAATATATGAGCCGCGTCATGACAAAACCAACATAATGGGTTTGCGACCAGCATGGATCCAGACCAGCCTGCGCATCCGCGCAGTCTGATCAGGATCCATGCTGTTCGCTTACAAACTCTATAACAAGTAGAGAAACTGATAGCGAACAGCGTGGATCCTGATCAGACTGCGCGGATGCGCAGGCTGGTCTGAATCCATGCTGGTCGCAAACCCATTATGTTGGTTTTGTTGTGACGCGGCTATATACTATGTATATAGATTTAATGAGAGGTTTTAGATATTTTTAAAAATGAAGAAATCAAAGAGGGAACTGTTGGGCAGATGCAATAAGCAGAATGGTTTTATAGAAATCAAATTAATAGCTTATATTTTTAGTTTCTTTTTTTTTGGTCACTGACCTAGTTGCACTGGTGATAAACAAAACATAGGTTGACATAGGAGTTGATAATTTACAGGTATTCATAATGCTCTTCCTAGGCAGGTGCTTATTTACATTTTTGACAGGGCCATTTTGGAATGAAGTTTTTTTTTGTTTAATTTTCTGTGGCATTTCAACAGGGGGTATGGAAGTAGGACACTAATCCTATTAAATCTAATAAATTACTGTGGCACTTTGCAAAGATATATTGTACTACACTTATTCTTCCATAATATAATTTATGAAATATGTTTGCACAGACCTAAGTTTCTGTCTACCATAATATAATTTATGAAATATGTTTGCACAAACCTAAGTGTCTGTCTACCAGAGATTTACATTTTGGCTAATAATTTGTGTCTAGTACTTAAATTTTGTAATTTTTCTCAGATACTTACAACAAAATCTATGCTATAAAGGAAAGTTTGTATTTCAAAAAAGTAGAGTTGCAATGAGCCATGGTGATGTTTATTCAGGTAGATATTTTTACAATTTTACAAGGTTTTATGAGAGCACTTTTAAGGAAACTGTTGTTAGTCCCCTACCGGTTTAACCGGAGGGGACTTTAGGTTTACCCTCCGTCCGTCTGTCCGTCTGTCTGTCCGTCTGTCTGTCTGTCTGTCAGTCCGTCAGTCCGTCCGTCCACAAAACTGGATCCCACGATAACGCAAAAAGTACTGAAAATATTTTTATGAAACTTGATATATGGATAGATGGCAGTATGGAGATTATGCACGTCTTTTTTTTTTCTTCCTATGTTGAAAATTCTGGTTGCTATGGCAACAAATAGTCTGAAAATATGGCAAATTTAACACATAAACTTGATCCAGTGATAACTCAAAAAGTACTGAAAATATTTTTATGAAACTTGAAATATGGGTAGATGGCAGTCTGGAGATTATGCACATCTTTTTCTTTTCTTCCTATGTTGAAAATTCTGGTTGCTATGGCAACAAATAGCCTGAATTTCAAGATTTCTGATTTAAATTTTTCAGCTTTTTCACTATATGTTCTTTATTTCTTAAGGTGTTTACTTCAAACTTTAAATATAAGTTCCTGGTCATCAACCACATCATATGTGACAAGGTTTATAACTCTAGCACAAAAAATATCAATATTACCTCCCTTGAACTTAGATTTTTTATGAAAAAAAAATGTTGTCTTTTTTAAATAACTTCTTTATTTCCTAATGTATCTACTTCAAACTTCATATATATGTTTCTTATTATCACTCGACATTTTTGAGAAGGTTAAATACTCTAGCAAGACTATTTCCAGAATTATGTCCCCCTTGAACTTAGATTTTTTTTGAGAAACTGGTATTTTCACTCCAACTTCTTCATTCCTTATAGGATTTACTTTAAAATCCCACATCGTAATAATATGACAAGGTTGTATAAACATAATTTCCTTACTAAGCATGGAAACTTTACACATTACTGTGATATAGACAAACTTATTTTATTATGTTTTGTGGTCGATATTTTCAAATACAGACTTCATCCTCAAATTCATTATAAATGGCAATACACAGGAGTGTATGACAATTAAAGAACTTTTTGAGGGACCGGTAGGGGACTACTGTATTGCCCGCAATACTATCAAATGCTTGTTTTTTTTTACATTTTACATTTCTTGTTTTCACTATTTTAATGCCAGCAGATTTTTCTACGTGACAAATTCTGAATATTTTTATCAGAGCTGGAATACATGAAACATTCCTCATTATTTCTCATATGTGCAATTTTAGTGATCATGGCCTGAATTGTCATTATTAATACTCCATAACATTTTAGTATAAAAACTTATAAGGATTAAGGCTGTAGTTTTTTTCACTTTTGTCCATTTTAGAACATGGGTAAGACACTGAAGCTTCAAATATTACTGATTTGGCCTTCATTGCTGTCAGGCCGTAATGTCATTGCCATTTGGCTGTAATTTCTGTCAGAAGAGCCTAAGCTGCTGCCATTCAGGCCTAAATAGCTGTTAGATATGCTGCTTTAAAGTAGCTGTCATTCAGGCCTAAAATGATGTCTGATAAATGTAAATTTCTATCAAATTGGCCTAAATTGCTGCCAAAATGGGCTAAATTGCTGTCAGATTGGCTTAAATTACTGTCAGATTGGCTTAAATATCTGTCTTGCTGTCAGACTGGCCTAACTAAATAGCTGTCAGATTGGCTTAAATTACTGTCAGATTGGCTTAAATATCTGTCTTGCTGTCAGACTGGCCTAACTAAATAGCTGTCAGATTGGCTTAAATTGCTTCATAGTGTAGGAAGACCTAATATTTCTATGAAATATAACTGAAAGTGCTGCTAACCAGTTGAATGCTGCATCTCTATTATTGATGTCACACTTTTTGAAGACACAATCTTGTAACATCTTAACATCGCCTCATTGTCATAGTAGACTAGACATTGTTTGAATTAACTAGTCTTATAATACAGGTTGGGAAAATTGAACTGGAACATAAAATTGGGAATATCTTGGGTGATAATGTTGACATATATCACCATATTGCAGTGCCTGGCCAGACTATACTGATTGGCTTTTCCATTTATACATAGCATGTAGTTTGACCTTGAAATGTTTTGAAACTGTTCAAAATTCTTTGCTTTTGGACGAGGGCAACACCATTGTGTAAATTTTTGTGGGAAATTAATGGAATTCAGCACCGAGTATTTTAGAATTGAACAAAATTGTAAATGCTGTATTATTATACTGTACAACAATTTTATATATTATAATATATATATATTAAGCCATGTATTATTATTTTACAGATTATGCTGTATTGGTGTATATTTTGCAAATATTTTATGAATCGTACCTATATATACATAAGTATTGTTTATAAACAGATGTGCGTGCCATTGCATCAAAGACCTGATGTCTGCAAATAAAGTAGAGCAATTTGATAAAGATATGCCGATTGTACTTAGTATTTTCTTATGGCAGCCATATTGGCCGAACAAGATAATAATAGTGTGGGAATATTCCGACAAAATATCCGATAAATTGAAAAGTTTTTACATATGTCGAAATTCTGTTTTAATGTACATGTGCAAGACTTAGTGGTATACAAATAAAATTCAGATTCATTTGAAAACAACTTATGTATATATTTTGTTGTAATAGTCATTCTAAAAACAGAGATTATCATTTTTTCGTTTGTGTTGAAAATTTGTTATTGTATTAGATAATGAACAAACGTTTTATCAGGTCTGTAGTGGATGGCTATATATTTTGGATTATTATATTTCTGTTATCAAAATGTATATGAAATAAAAGATGTACAAGTCAACATGTTTTATTTTCATTTTATTTTCAATGCCTCTTAGTGCAGGGGTGTCCTTGGCAGAGTGGCTAAGGTTGTTGACTTCAAACCACTTGCCTCTCACTGCTGGAGGTTTGAGATGCAATATTATCTTTGGATTTTTATGTCGGAAAGCTATCCAGCTAGCTGTTGATGGTTCTACTTGGATGCCAGTTTTGGCCTAAAATGATGTACAGAGGGGCAACTGAGGTCTCCCTCCATATGTTAAGCTGGAAAGTTATTATTAAGCCATTATGACCTATACAGTGTTGATGCGACATTAAACCCAACCAAAAAACGAGATGACATCTTTGCTGCCTGTGCAGAGTGCATGTTTATGATGCTGGCCTTGTGATACTAGTTTGCTGCTCCTTTCTAACAAGTAAATGCAAATGATGTGGATTTGTCAGATAAATGACGAAACAAATCAAAAATATAATTTACATAAAATTTTATTCACCTCACAACATTTATAGGAAGTTTCTAGACATTTTGAAACAGAGAAATTTTTGAAAACATGAATGTATTAGCACCTGAATCAAGTTCAATTTTATACATCTTGAATTCTAGTCCAGATTTTTAGAGAAAACAATATTTTTAGTCCTTCATTCTGTTAAGTTGTAATCCATTGTTTGAGGTAACGGCTTCTTTTAATTAATGCATCAAAATACCAATGTATAGACATAAATGTAAAAATATTTATACACAATACTTAGCAACAAACATAAACTCCATGTACACAAACTGTCCAGAAAACCAGAAAAACCTACAGTTTTGATTTGAACACATTGGGAAACTGTGTAATACATGTATTACACATATTCAGCAAAAATTGTAAATTTTTGCTCGGATACAAAACAAATTTACATTTATTTCAAATGTAGTATCAGTTTTTTCATTTGTAAGTTATAACAAGTATCAAACAAATACAAAAAATCAAAATTTCTCGATAATTTACAATAATGACACCCTTTCTTCTGACAAGTTTACCGTTTTAACAGCTTATTTTGCCTAAGTGAAATGAATAAGACAAGTTTTCTAATGTAACGTCTATCTACGCATATATACAAATAATTCTCCTGCAACAGGTAATGAGGATGGTAAATGTTTAGATGATACACTATGACTGAGATTCTACGTGGTTGAAGCCGGTGCCACTGGCGGGGGTTGCGTGTCCATTGGCTCAGGTGCTGGGTTTGAGTCTCCTCCATCCCCACCTACAATAAACATTATAATATAAAATACAACTTTGCTTATCTGTAATCTTTAGTTTAAATTTATTTAAGCTCAATTGCTAAACAAGTTCTTTTAACTTATAAATATATATATCACTTTTCATTCCTGGAAATAACCAGTACTGGTGTCAAATTTAGACTGGAACCCATGATTTCAACTTATATTTATCACTTTCCGTTCCTGGAACTAACCAGTAATGGTCTGGAACCCATGACCCCAACAAGTTCTTTCAACTTATATTTGTCACTTTCCATTCCTGGAACTAACCAGTACTGGTGTCAAAGTTTGGCTCAAACCCATGATCCCTAGATTAAGAGGCAGACACCTTAACCACTAAGCCATTGCTCTCCTGTAATCTTAATCATGCTTAATTGAATAATGTACTGACAACCTAGCTATAGTCATACAGAACAAGTTAAAAGGGGCAAAATTCCAAAAATAAGTACATTGATTGTCAAAACAGTTGAATTTACTTTGATTGGTTTAAAAGCAAATAAGCACTCGTAATATGGCAACTATCTTAGTTTACTTGTTTCAAGTTTATAAACTGTTTCATGATTATAATAAAACAGACTCCAAAGACCAAATAATCCAGTAATTAATAGAACACGAGTTTGAAGGCAAAGTAATAGTAGATTTTCTTCAAGGCTAGTTCAAATGCCAAATTTACATAAAAATTGCTCAGCAAGACTTTACTTTAGTGTTGTTATAATTTTCTGATCCTTCTGGATCATCGAATCCAGCACTTTTAAGTGTTGAGAATTGAGTGCTGCTCAAGCTGTTGCTAGGGGGGTGAGGGATGTTGCATTTTTTTCATTATCCTTCATGTATCAATCAAACAGAGTTTACAATTTTCATGTAATTTTGCTGTTTTTAATGATTCCTTGTAATATATAATCCAAATATTTCTGACTATAGACAAATATCTTACCTGGAACAGGTGTTGCTGGTTTTGGAGTACCAGCCTGAGATGATGTGGATGGTGGGAGGGGCTGTGTGGCTGGGGGTGGAGCTGGGGATCCCTGCTGGGCTGTTGGTCCCATCGGGGTCATAGGGGAGCTGGATGTTGGGTAAGTTTGTCCGACTACTGATGGCTGGGTTGATGCAGGTGACTGGCCTGGAATTGCTCCTGAAAGTTGAAATATTGGTTTGTGCTGTAAATCTGACAGAAAATCTTAAGAAATGGACTTAATTGAGTTCTTAAATGTTCAATGTTTTGTACACAAACTAATCATAAATGTAGACCATGAATGTTTCTTGTAATCTGATATTTGTTTCAAAGGAACTTCACTGAGGTCCAAAAGCATAAAATCATGACAATTGAATTTTTTAACATACTTAAGCTTAAAAACTCCACAAAAAATTAAGAGAAAATGATCAAGATTGAAAACAAATTTCCTTCTTTTTCTGAATACTATAGAACATAAAAAAAATTCTTTTTTATGCCTGAAGTTTTGCACTCTTGATATTTAAGAGAATCCATATCTGTTGATGGCAAAATCTTGATAAACTGAAGAACCAAATTCATAACCTTTTGTAAAACAAATGTGGTAAGATTCCAACCAAGTAGTCAGTATCATTACCATGGAAGAGAAATTCAGTACTGAAGTATAACTTGTAACTTGATATGAGAGTAAAACGTATTCAAATCCATCAATTTTTTTTACAGCTTTATATGACATACCATCTCCAGCTCCCTGTGGTGTTTGTTTTTGTTCCTGTGCCATCTGTTGCATGGCGATCTGCCTGGCACGGTACTCTGCAGCTCGAACCTGCTCCATATGGAACTGCTGGCGCTCCTGTAACAGCTGCTGTCTCTGGTACTCCAACTATAACCAGAATATTATAGAAGATTACTACCTCAATACAATTATAAATACTTAACATAATACTAGTGGTAAAAAGAGCTTAATTTATTAAATATTTCTAAAATTAAAGTATCAGAGACCAATGTGTATCTATGGCAGACTAAATCTAATTTTGTCTTATTTGTCTGTTTTAAACTAAAGCATTTCTTAGCTTGTCTGTATGATATATTTATATAGTTATTTCTTGAAAATTTTCACTTGTCCGTGGGACATCCTGGGCAATACGGAAAATTGATTTTGCCGCACCTGCAGTTTCAATATGTGAACTAATACAAAATAATTCTAATTTCTGATGCAAATGGTAATTAAAATTCAAAAAACCTTTTGTTTCATTTTTCATAAATCCTTATTGAAACAATCAAGATTTTACCCGGATAATTTCATTAAAATCATACAAAAAAAAGGTTATTCTATTTGGAAGAGAATTTCAAACTTACTGCCTCTCTTTCTCTGTCCATGATGGCCTCAAGTTCATCAAAGTGTCTTAATTTGATCTCAAGTTTCTTCATTTGTGTCTCGACTAGTAATGCTACAAGACTTTTGATCTTACGCTCCTCTACTGCCGCTAGGTGCTGCAAATTCAAGATTATATTCATTTATTTATTTATTTATCCTTTCTATCAGTGATTATAACTTGCCAATTCTTCTGGTATGAAGTCAGGCCGAGCTCAATATCTGAAAGTATGAACAGGCTGTATACTATTTCCTCCAGTTTTGCTTTCTGATATTGAAATCCCGTTAATTTACAAATGGACAATTCCAAATTCAAAGAAGGGTAAATCCTTAGCACATAGCTGCTTATTTTCAGTGGTTTAGCTGTCTGATAATAAAACTCCTAACATTTGAAACGGACAGTTTCAAATTCAAAGCAGGACAGGTCCATAATACAAATGCAGGGCTTTATATTAAGCAAAAAAGTTAATTAAACATCCTTGAAAGGAAAAGACTTGAATGACAAATTTTATTCACCTAATCGACTATGAATTTTTTCCAGATCTTATCTCACAATTGCTATACTGTCTGGCGCAAAATACTAGTTTTATAAGAATCCTCAGTTCTTGCACACAAGCCTTCAAATTTTGTATTTGTATTTTAACTCATACCTTTGCTTGATACTGACCAAAGACAAAAGAATGATACACTATAAACAGAGCAGTGTCAAGTTGTCAAAAAACCAAAATCTTTACCAATATTACAAATGTGAAAAAAGAAAAAAACATCCCTAAACATCCCACATTCTGCCAAAGAATATCACTATTAACATGTGTCAGAGCACTAATTGACAACTACTCTATGAAAGTTTGATTGAAATTCCTTTAAGAAATGTGTTAACGCCCAGTCAACTTTCACCATTTTAATAACGAGTTCAACCTGGTTTTAAAAACCTGGAAAATTAGAAATCTAGAGAAATAGAGCAATAAAAACCTACCTTGGCTTTGACGGCTGCTGCAGATAGAGCTGCTGCTGCTGCCGTGGCAACATTACCCTTTTCTTTATCATCTAGTCTCTTCACCATTTCCTTGCCCTTCCCTGAATCTTCCTTCTTCTCATCACCATCTGCTGCCTTCTCCCCATCCTTTGTGCTTTCATCCTGTGTTAATAAAGAAAAGATTAGACTGGTTTTATAATACTGACAGTGAAAAGGTCATACTTTGCATTATAAAACAAAGTTAAGTTCATGGATGAAAATGAATATAAAAAATATACCTGAAAATCCAAAACAAATTTCATTCATGAAAACAGAAATTAAAAAATATTCCTCAAAGTCCTAAATTAAGCATTTCTTTTTAATTTTATATACAGAATAAAAAGGTTTGAGAGTCTGAAAATTCTGAATTCGCTAATAATCCTGAAAACTTTCATCCATGTATGTTCACTTAAGTCTACCTTTTATAAACAATTTACGATTAAAATTGAAAGAAGTGATAAGCTAGTAGCTTAAGTGCTTGTCTTTTCACCTGTTTATGCTCTTTGGGCCATTTTTTTCTCAAACTACATCAGAAGTTACAAGTATAGGGAACAAAATTTCAGAAAAGTAATGGAATCCACTTCTATCCTAATATGCAGAGAACAAGAGCACCACAAAGGTGGGGCAATATATGCCCAAATGTAAACTTGTTTAAGTAAATGGAGGAAATGTGTATGACTTACTTCATCTTTCTTGTCTTCACTCTTTTCTCCATCTTTGGTTTCTTGTGCTTGTTCTTCTGTCTTCTTTTCAGCCTGATCTGTCTCCATGTCCTCTTTCTGTTTCAAATAGAACATTAACCTTACTGTTAACTTAATATTTAGATAATAAACAGAGGACTACCCATGTAACATGTGTTAAATTTTAACAAATCATGTTCTTCTGAAATATAACTTTATTATTTTCAATAACTTAAGGTATCCTATGTGCTACACATTACAAAATAACCATTTAGTTGGTTATATCCACAGTTTTGTTAGTCAAAGTCGACCACAAAAATTTGTATTTAGCTTAAAAGTATTTTGAACTCAGAAAAATATTTGGACTCAATAACTTTATCATTAAAATGCTCTCTGTATGGATAAACTTTCTTTGAGTTTGTCACACCAAAACATTATCTGGGATTACTAACTGGCTTAGTGTTAAAGTACAGAGGTACAGAAACAAAACAGTTACAATATGTATTTACCTTAACTTCAACTGATTCAGACTTCTCATCTTTATTTTCTCCCTCTCCTTCCTTCTTCTCTTTTCCTTCTTCTTTCTTTTCCTCTGTAAATCATGAATAAAGCTGTACTACACAAGTAAATGCTATTCCTACCTTTTCAGAATGGGTACAAAATCTTTACTAAATCATGGTGTTATATAAATATTTTGGTTATAAAACTAAACATTTACATTGGAAAGTTACATGGTGACTTCAAAACTTTAGTGCATTATTTCAGCTACAATAATATATCCATGTTACCATCACATGACTGTTATTGCGTAACAGACTAGTTCTCCTTCGAATTCAAAACTGCCAAATTTCAGTTTCAAGTATATTAATATGAAAAATATAAATCTGAGGCAGATAACATAAAAAGCCTGGGTCTGACAACACAGATGTGCAGGTTGTCTTGGCTTTATGATCAACATAAACAAAACATTTCAGCTGTTTTAATTTGAATATTAGAATGGTTTTACACACTTTTCTAACAATCATAATCATATCATAAGAGGAATCTTGATGAAACCAACAATAAGCATACCGTCCTCCTTTTCCAGTACTGTACCAGCAATACCAGACTGATCTAAACCAAACTCTTGATCCACTTCTTTACCCTCGGTCACGGCTTTCTCCACCATCTTAACATGGGCATCAATCAACGCTGGAGGAACTTCATCCTTCATCTTGGAGAACTCCTCTATTTTTTAAATATAAATGTTGCAATCATATTTCTGTCATACAAATGTATTACCCCTTAAACACTTGAATTACTTAAATTAACTTGTCCAGCTTCCATTTCTGGAAATATCAATTTTTTGGGATATCAAGATGAAAATTTAAAGTTACTCAACCAACAGTATAGAGCTTGGTCAAACTGAATGGATGCGCCAAATGTTGTCCACACCTGAATATGATATTCTTATTAAATTTTAGTTTGTGTATGAAGCTTATACTATAGACACAATTTTGAATCTGTTCCTGGAACAAACTGGTCATGCGCAAATGAGTGTAAAGTTTCTTGCTCAAGGAAACAAAGACACCCCTGTGGCTTTCCCCAGATGGGCTTTGAACCCATGCTGATAGCAATCATTAGATTACTTGTTACGTGTTAACCACTCAGCAATGTTTCCCCATTGTTTTTGAATAGTCAAGCTAAAGATTTTGACATGATATATATATCTAGGGAAGCATTACCTAGGGCAGCTTTAGCTGCAGCACTGGCAACACGGGGATCCACTGTAGATGCGAGGAATGCTACTGTAGACATCACTGGGTTACCTGCCTGCGAGAATGGTAATGGCTGGTACGCTAGCGGTCCTGTAAATATAGCATTCATATTAACAAAATGTTGAATCAATAAATAATTGAACAATTGTTATTGCATTAGATTGCAGCTTAATATTATTTCTGGGATAATAAACATATAATATTTTTATGAACATTCATTTAGAATGAACTATTTGATCATTCCTGTCCAGGAGTTGAACTTCGACTGTAGTCTCGAAATAACATGTATGACTGAATGAAGCATCCTTTAAATTTTTTTAGATTAAGTAATTAGATATGTGTTGAAAACAAACTTTGCATAAATCATGCAACAGTCCCTACATGAATTCACAGCTCATCATATTTCAAGTCTTAAATGCCTTAAAGCTAAAGTTTACACATCAAATGGTATACCTAAATGTCCATAATCTTCATCTAGGTAAGGATCTTCTATTGGTAGTCTGAGGAACTGTAGTATACACTCGTCCTGGGTACGACTACCAACATGTTCACTAACTTTGTTCCAGTCATCTTTGTATAACTCTAACGCCTCTAGTAACAACAAGGTTTCCTGATCTGTCCAATCCCTAGTTCTAGTAGCAGCTCCTTTATCCTGTAATAAATACCAAATGCAAGATTATTTTGATTTTTTTTGTTCAGTTTTTAATTCACACCAACACTATAATGGTTATCTTGACAACTTTCATGCTATAACTGGTGGGGGTAAAATTTGAGACAAACTGACCTTCTCTAAACTTACTGGATAAATTCCTCACATGAAAGAATCCAACATCCTTTGCAGGATTTAAACCTAAAGCTGTGCAAGGCAAGTGATTACAGTTCAGCGAATTTAACCACTAAGCCAATGAGGCATCTTAAAAATCATTTTTCAGGTTGGTATGAATAAATGTAATTATAGCAAGCTAACAATATAGGTACTTACTTTTTAACATTCAAGACTGTACTTTTAAACAATGCTAAAAGCCCTGAAGATTCTAATGACTTAACATTTGAAGTATATCCAAAAGTCAGGTAAATTAATGTAATACACACCTTTTGAGATTTTTTGCCGTATATGTCTGTTCTGAGACCAAAGTTTGGAAGCTCTTTCTTCTCCTCACCATCTTTAGGCTCCTCAAAACTTACAATCTGTTTGGCTGCTGATGGCTGTAAAAGCACAAACAATACTTATACAGATAAATCATAGACTAGATTTTAGAATATCGATTAAAAGTCACAAATAACAGATAGTTATAAGAATAGAACTGACAAGTATTAAAAAGAAAAAAAGAAATGATACATGTAATATGTATCTTAGAAAAACAGATTTTGTGGTTAGGGGTTTCAAGTCCTGATAACTTTCAAAGTCATATGGCAACATTCAGTGTTTTTCTTCTAGAGAAGAAAGACTGACATTGTCCACTCTTCACTTTTTTCTTCAGGAACAGAAAATGCACCTGGGTAGAACCAACTACCTTAAGACAGCTGATTTAGCAGAGCTAAAACAATTTTACTATTCCACATGAAGAATTAGAATCACAGCTGTAAGAAACAGATAAGCCACAAAGACTCACATCTCACTTTAGCACTATGAAATCATAAAACCATACCTGATTTAGTCTCGGAGGATTGGCAGCTTGTAGACCAGAGGGCGTGTCAGCTAGGATATGGAAATGAGATGTTGGGGGTGGTCCCATGGCTGTAGGTCGACTCTCAGCATCAACTTGATAGTTTACCAAACCCCACTGCTCCAAAAATGCATGTACTCTAATAAACAGACAAAACGAAAATTTAGCAGATGTTTACATAAAGAAACAAAACAAATTACTCAGAACATTATTACAAAACATAAAACCATCTAACTATATGTATAATATTTCAACTAATCATAACTTTCATAGTTTAGAATTCTGGAGGAAAATTCTTGAACATACTAAAGTCAAAAGGCCTTTACATAGAATATAAAAATACTGCATCAAATATTACTCAGCTTGAGGAAAATTAAACAAATCCAGCAGAAATTATTTCCAGGAATTTAACTGGTGAAGAAACTGTAGTTTTTCTTTTAATTAAATATTTGTCACACAAAATGATTTCAAACAAAAAGAAATATTATATAAGAATGCTGAATTTTTTTTCGAAATAGTCTTTTATAGTACAATTATAAAACAGTTTAAATTGATACTGTATAAACATATATAAATAGTATTTAAGATAACCATAGTAACAAGTTACCTAATTATTGCACAAACGTCTCCAGCTAGATTGCGTCTGCAAGCTGTACTCGTCAAATACTCCATAGGGTTTAACCTGTATGTGTCCAACATGAAGTTTCTGTACGCCATATACCTAGAGACAACAAAAAATTAAATTACAATTGAATTCATTACCCTATACTATTTATAGTGAATAAAATAAAGATTGACAGGAGCCCCAGTTTTGATAGATAAGGCCAATCTTATTCTTATTTTTTATATTAACTTATGATTAAAGCATAGAGCTTATTTAAACCACTCCCAAGCATACTTTATGAAACTAGTACTGGCTCAATATGGAAATCAAAGTTATGACCTCAGTAGGATTAGATTCCAGGTACCCTAGGTGAAGAAGATGCCTTAACAACAATACCTATTCCTGTTAGAAATTGCATTTAATTGTATAAAGTAACAGTCAGAAGTTACAAAACTAGAGTTTGTCTACTTACACTTCAGGAGTTTTAGATCGATTTTTTCCATTAAAGAACTCTGGCAGGGCTCGTCTCTCGATGGCATTTATACCGTTATAATCGAACCATGAAGCGTAGCTAGGTATAATGATATGATGTGTTTGTTCTGTTACACTGTCTTCTGTCTCATCTTTCTCCTTCTTTGTCTCCACCTGCTCTACTTCTTCTTCCATTCTCTCTTCTCCCATCTATACAAAAACATATTTATCCATTTAGAAGAGCCACCACAATTATTTATTCTAACCTCAGAAAAAGACATGGATATTCATTCTGGCATCTAAACAAAGATACAACCAGGGCTTCCAATAACAGAAGTTTTGGAGTCAATTACTCCCAATTTTGGCTTGTGACTTCCAAAATATAATTTATATGTTTTATTGTTTGGTTTTACGATACACCGACACAATTTAGGTTACAAAGCGTCAAAAAAAATTTGTTTTGATTTTTACATAGGTTTAACCATTTACTGACATAAAAAGAGAAGACAAAACTTAGGCCAGCAGCAATGATTTTCAAGACAGCAATATACAATGTAAGAAAGATTTCAAGTGTGTCATGTGAAGATAATAAAGTTACATACCTGATGTGAATGTTCATCATCCATATCAACCACTGTACCACCTTTAATAGGTTGTAACTCACTATCTCTGTTACTCCGAGATGCTGAAAAAACACATCACCAATCATCTTAATTTAATTCAATATAACAATGTATGTGAAATATACTCAAATTTGTAAAATCTTTAAAAATTAGAAGATACACAATAGCATGAATTACGGCCCTTAAGAGTCACTGATTCTAAAGAATCTTAGTGCTTAGTGCATACTGACAACCTGTTTAAACTGGTCCTATGAGGACCTGGGCCTGAAAGGTGTTTCACTTCTCATAGTTTCAGACAAACAAGCTCAATCAGATTTTGAGAACGCCACTACTAACTTAGTTTTCATTGTTTACATGGGATCTCCCCTTTTCCAGATTTCTTAATATACATTTTGTGAGCTATACCCGGAATTTTAAGTTAATTACAATAATCATACAAAAAAAAATTGTATCAATTTTATATAAATTATCTAAATTATGTACCAGTTTTAGACAGCTGGACCTCCTGTATATTGGGTTCTGGTGTGGGATCCTCGAGGTCCTGGGTCAGATCTTCCTCCTCCTCATCACGTCGGTTCTTCTTTAAACCCGAACCTGTCACAGCTGTACGACCACTGAATAATTTATAAATACTTCATATATATTAAACAGATAATAACAATAAAAGATTTAATACCTACAATATATAATACTGACTTCAATATTGACATGTGTAATTTAGTTTAGTGCTGGTATTATAAAATTTGTTCTTAACCGATTGAATACTGAGACTCATTGGTAAATTTCCTTTGCAACCAGTATAGAGTCGGACAAGCATTCACAGCTGTAAAGCCTGACTATACTCCATACAATCCGGCTGCTCAAATTTTGTTCTTTGACACCAAATAATCCCCTAAATTACTATTAAAGTTCCAAATTTAAAACAGCACAAGTCCAAAGACCTAATTCAGTACTGATAGCCTTAACCCAGAAATTCCTTAGTTCAAACTCTATGTCTATATTTGTGTGAACCTCTAGATGGGTAAAGATGGCTATATTTTCACTGGTTAAATTCAAAACAACCACAACAGCCACTGCAATAAGCTTTAACAAGAGCTGTCAGAAGGACAGCGCGCTCGACTTTTTTAGTGCTTGCCTATAAAACAAAACTTTGACAGTTAAGGGCACACAAGACTTTAACTAGGAATTTCTAAGTACAAATCAAGAAACATTTTCACAGAGTTATCTTCTCTTGCTTACAGATAGGTCTCATGATGGCACATAAGAACTCCAACTTCCAAAGTAATATCTCAAATGGTTAAGTCAACAAGTGGACAAGAATGAAAATCTTAACTGAGTTTCTAAGTCAAAAAGGGCCATAATTCAAATAAAATCCTTAACAGAATTACCTTCTCCTGCCCATGTTTTGGGACCATGATGGTAAACAAGTATTCCAACTTTCAAATTAATATCTCAAACAGTTCAGTCAAAAAGTGGACTGGTACTAAAAACTTAACCAAGATTCTAAGTCGATAAAAGGCCTTAATTTTTTAAAACAAATCCTTGACAGAGTTACCTTCTCTTGCGTACAGATGGGGGTAATGATGTGAAATAGCATTAAAAGTTTCAAAGCAATATCTCAAAGGGTTAAGGCAATAAGTGGATTTTACCCATATTCAATGTATTTTCTAAGTCAAAAAGGGGCATAATTCTGTCAAAAACCTTGACAGAGTTATGTCCTCTTGTCTGTTGATGAAGGTCGTGATGGTAAACAAGTATGGTCAGTTTCAAAGCAATACCTCCAATGGTTTTGAAATAAAGTGAGGTGGTACAAAAAACTTAACCAAGCTCAATACACTTTCTAAGTCAAAAAAGGGCCATAATTCTGTCAAAAACCTTGACAGAGTTATGTACTCTTGTCTGTAGATGGAGGTTATGATGGTGAACAAGTATGGTAAGTTTCAAAGCCATACTTGTAATACTTCTGAAATAAAGTGGGGTGGTACGAAAAACTTAACCAAGGTGTGACGCCAACGCTAACGCCGACGCCGACGCCGGGGCGAGTAGGATAGCTCCCCTTTTCATAGAAAAGTCGAGCTAAAAATGATGTACATACAAATTTAACTTTAAATGTTAGAGACTGTTAAAAGGAAAAGGTGATAAGGAGAGTAAAAAGTCTGATGATAATGTAATACCTTTTTCTCTTCTTTTTCTCAGGAGGGGGTGATGGTGACCTCTTTCTTTTACCCTTTTTTTTATCTTTCTTCTCATCACCAACAAGCTGGAAATATCATAACTGACTATAGTTCAGAGAATAGTATTATAATTATCTACTACACAAACTGTTTTCAGAATGATTTTAAAAAGTATAATATTGCTCATGTAACATTGTTGTATCACTTAAACTATGAGAATGTTGATAAAGTTAGACCAGAAATTTATATACTCTTTAGATCAGTACATAAGTATTGTATATGCTTGGTACTTTATAATTATGCGATGACCGTATCAAGATGCACTATTTAACAATTAGCACCTGTTGTTTAAAACACAAGATTTTCAATTATTATACAGATTATTATACGAAAATACAAATGATTTTAATTGTAAAATTTATCAGTAATTTGTCTTATTAAGCTCCAAGCTTTCACCACAATATCACTGTTTATATACATGAAAATTATAAAAATCAGGGATATAAAGACATTCAAATTTTGAGAAAACAAGAGTAACAGTTTACCTCTTCAGGAGAATACTTGGTAGGCAACTTCTTTTTGACTTTTTTACCTTCATACTGTAAACAATACAATATACATGTACATGATATAATAAAACACAGTAAAAACTCTGTATCATTAAATGCTGCAAATATCTAGTTAAGCAAATAAAGTTTAAAAAGTTAAAATTTTCGAATACTATATAACGTACTTTTTTTAAAAATAATATCTTTTATGAGTCTGAAAGCGAGCTGCTTTAACAATCTAATATAATAATAGCTTATTTATAATGAATCTGATTTAAGAATTTAAATGAATAAAAATTTATATCATAACTACATGTATAGTACAAATTTATACATTTGTAGTACCACATATTATCAAACATGAAAACATAAAAGTATAAATTTCCTTCATAAATCATTTACATAAAGTTCATATAGTAATCTAACTTACTCAGATATTTTCTCTGTATACATACAAGAAATCTAGATTTTTTTCAATGTAAAATATTGAAAGATATACTGTAAAACAACATTATCTATATAAGCATGTTAATCTTATTTCAACAGTGTTTTGTACCACCTGTCAATAAACTACATTTTAACCACTTTGCCTTGTTACATGGCCACTTTTACTTACAATAAACTCCTTAGTGGAGTCCCTTTAAGTACTCTGGAACAATATAAATTCCGATATTCCACTGAATACAGACAGCCAAATATAGCTTTTTACCCTTTTAATAATGTTATCTCATACATTTATCAACAGCCATCTTCCATCCATACAAAATGGTGATATCAATAAATCAATTAATAAAACATTAATTAGAAAACTCATACCAATAATTTACTTGTATCAACCAGAAGTTCAACTTTTACTTCAGGCTCAATGCTAGTAGCCAGTTCATAAGTTAAACCAGAAGTTTCCATTTTATATTCAGTATCCATCCAAGAATGCCTTATGCCTTCTAAGTTACATATACCTAGCAAAGTCTATAAACACCTACAGACCTTTCTATATTAACACCTATAGCCAAAGCTGCTAAATTATTGGTAAATCTTGTTAAAACCCTAGAATATAAGGTAATCATTAAGACACCTTGAAAAACAGCATACCTTGTTTTTACTGAATAGTTCAGATACATGGGTGATATAATTAAACAGAAAAGCATCTGATGAGAAATTTGTACTCAGGTGTATTAAAAAGGTAAACATTTTTTATCTTTGGAAGTTATTGTATCTGTTTGGTTTCTCTGTTATAAGTAATTGTTAATCAAAAAGTGAAAAAAGTGATAATAACTGAAAACTTTGGTAACTATTGCTTTTCATGACATTTTTCTTTTAGTCTTTAGTGACATTAAAAAAAGTGAAGTTCAAAAATTTGAAAAATATTAAATTTTAAAATTAAAGGTCATTAAAATTTTAATTTGAATGGACCTTTGACTGTAAGATATTTCTACAGAAATCAGATATATTGTCTATATGTGAAATTCAATAAAATATATCTCATTAAAAAAATGTAAACTATTAACAATTGACTGCCATTTTAATTGAAATTTTGAATGGGTCTTTGACTGAAACTACTTGTTGAAGCAATCAAATTATTTCAATTTTTTATATTGACTTGCATCAAAGATTTTAAGTGAAATCTAAATCAAGAATTTAATAACTATATGATTTATCTCATGTTTTCAATTAACATCAAGTTTTCAATTAACATCAAGTTTTCAATTAACATCATGTTTTCAATTAACATAATGTTTTCAATTAACATCATGTTTTCAATTAACATAATGTTTTCAATTAACATAATGTTTTCAATTAACATCATGTTTTCAATAAGCATCATGTTTTTATACCATCAGAAAATTAGAAAATCTCCAAATATTTTACACAGCAAATGTTTTTTTTCTAAAATCTAATGAATCATAATTATCAACAACAACAAAACCCAACCCAACTTGAACTGTGAAACATTAGAGCAACTCTATCATAATAAAAATCTGAATAATATTAAGTAAGATAAACTCAATTACAAACTGTGTAACAATGTGAACAAGTGTAACAAGAACAAATGGTTATTTTGTGTTTATTGAACGATGGTACTCACACGGATACGACATTTCTCTACCGGTACACTAACCTCCTCCTCGACCAAATAATCTTCCTCGTTCATCCATTCATTATACTCCTCGAGGTCCAATAACCAGCGTGCCGTCACCTACAATAATGATTCCATATTGTATCATTTAATGAAAAAAAATCTTTATTCCAATATAAATTTAGTGGTGATGTCTAAACGCTGTATTTCCGGCATAGGTATAATACTAAAGACGTTAATGCTTGGTTGCTGCTCCCCATTCTGCGATAATGGCCCTCAAATCCATAATGTCATAATTTAACTTTTTCTGCCTCAGTATATGAATTATTAATTTTCTTTATTTTTCTCAATGTCTAATTAAATATGTTCAAGCAGAAAACATGTTGCTTCTGTCCAAATATTGAATCTATGCTTAAGAGTGTAAATTATATATTTACGGCAGAATTAACACATCTTGTAAAGATATTCCAGGACATTAGTTAACAGCTATTTGATATAAAGTTAACAGACACTCAAGTGTGCAGATAGAGATTAAAAAGATTAAAAAAAACCATATGCGGAAATCTTAGGACACATTGCATGAATGAATTATACATCACAAACAATGATAAATTTTAAATTACACGGTCGTTAAGCCAAAATAAGCGTTTAATTGCAGAATTTTGGAATAGACTGGCCCAACTTCCATTTTGAAACAGTCCATCATCAATGTCAAATTTAAAGGTCAATATAAAAAGCTGGTTAACCAGCAGGATAGAGCCTCGTTGGACTAAAAACTGATTTTACTCTACACATGGGAGGCAAAAGGGTTTGCAAATCAAATTTTAGCATTGAAAGAAACACTATGAGTGAGTAGTAAGTAACGTTACCTCCCAGGGTCCTGGTGGAGACCATGATGGTTCTGGTTCCTGATCACACCCTAGATCTGGTATCCAGTTGTCATAACTGTTAATATATACAATAATGTATGTCATTTGTTAAAATCCAAAAATTATATAAGCAACCTTTAGAATAAGACTTTTCCTTTTGCTTTTCTGTTTCAGCAATTAAAGATATTTTCATAACATCATGTCAAGTTAAAAGAAATCTGTTGATTAAACAGTTTTAATTCTGACTATATGGCTTAGTATATGATAAATACAGAAAATCCACAAAAATGTTCTGAATTCTGTTTTTTTCTTCTCACAAAATTCATTACATTTTACAATCAGGCTTTAAATATAGTCAAGCATTTTTAAGATTTAAATGGTGTATTAATGTTAGATTAAAGCACAAATTAAAATGAAGGCAGCTTTAATATACTATTTGTAATATAATTATATATACAATACATCACTCATTTATCTTACCTGTCAGGTGTATACCACCAGTGAACCAATGCATGTTTGTCTCTCTTCATGACAGGTCTACACCATTCCTCTGTTATAAAATTAAAGAATACATGTAGATTAACCTTTTGACCCCTAGCGGTGATGATGTCATGACACACACTAGTCTGACCAGTACAGAGCCAGGTCAGTCTCCAAGTCATACAATCTGACCAGGCTCTATACTGAATTTTGATATTTTGATTGATTTATGATTACACATGGATCATACAAAACTTAAAAGCATTTTAATCAAATTAATCACAGTTAGATATGAACTTATAATCTAACAGAATAAAAATGTTCAGTTTTATCATTTCTACTATTATATAAAATAATGTAGACCTCTCATTTTTTAAACTGAACATTACTGGTAATCATAAATTCTGGTGGGTATTTTGCGAAATTTTTACTGGGCCATGTGAGTTATTCATAGTTTATGCAAAGTAAATTATTACACCGACAGGAATTGTGGCAATATGAAAACTTTTGAATTATACCTGTTCACTCACTACATATCCTTGAATGGGCATAATGTCACTTTAACTGATACCTCAATATATCATCATTACTGATTATTACAAATATTTTGTTTGTGAAAGGCTTACCTTCCTGTCCCGAGCTAGCTGGCATGCCATGTATAACATGAGTAGCGTCTTCTTCATTGTCTGATATGGAACCTTGATGTTTCTTTACAATATCTTTCAGTCGAGAGATGAGTGCTTTCTCAAGACTAGGTTTTATAAATACATTAGGCTGAATATGACATTTGTTGGCCACCAAAGATTTCATAATCTGCATGAACATTTCCACATTTCTGTCCATCCGCGACGGTGATGCAAAATCGAATCTTCTCCTACAAGAAAACAAAAGCCAATTTCTTATGCATGGAACTGATAAGAAAAGTTCAATTTTTACTTAGAGGAGTTAAATAGACTAAAGAGAACTTGAGGTGAAAGTATCTATATGACTACCAGTACCATATGATTTTTTACAAATTACATTACAAAATAAGTAAATATATACTTCATGAATTCATTCATCAATATCTTAGCTCTTATACTGTTTTCTGAATTCTGTTTCCAAAAAAGGGTGTCCATTTTGTTGTCATTACTGATTTTTTTTCTCTCCCAATTATCTTATTTTGCCATTAAAAAATTCCTAATTACACAAAGCTGGACCTATTCAAAAAGGAAAAATGCACTGATCATTAATAATTGCCTAGTAAATTTTTTTACTTCTATTAAAAGCTGTGTTTCATGTAAAAAACTAAAGATTAATATCCTACCATCCTTGATCTGTCTTGAACTTGAAGACTGCTGATAGAATATGACAGAGGGCTCCACCTGGTTTGAAGTCCAGGAAACATTTCATCTGTAAGATAAACAGCACTATATATATATGTATACAAAGTATAGGCAGAAAATGTTTGTTTCAACTGTAACCTAAACTTATTTCATAGCAGGGTGGGAAGGCAAACACAATGTGACTGTTTTACTGGATTATTGCAGCCTGAAAAAATGCCTGGAAGGGCACCTGAGGTCTTCCTCCACCAGTAAATGTGGAACATCGCCATATGAACTATACTGTGTTGATGTGACGTAAAAACGTATCAAACAAACAATGGAAAATGACACTTAAACTTCACAATTTTAAGAAAAATCGCACATGCCTTTCGCAAATCAGAAAGGCCTGTGCTTCTTCACAAATTTAGGAAAAAACCTTTAAGTCATGACAAGTGTTCAAAAAATCTTACAGGCAGTTTAGTTAGTGGAGAGTTGTTGACAGACTTTCCAAATGCATCTTCTTGGAACTGTAGTAATTGCAGAACTAAACTTGACAAACTTTTGTTTGTAGGAGGATCTGCCTGTGTATACTGAAATAGATATATTACATTGTTAATATTAGTTGAAAGTCCTCCGTAAGGGAAGATTACCATCTAGTTTACCAAGCAAAGATGTGATATAAAAAAACTACTGAAAAGTGATACATAAATTTAACAAGTTGGTAACATTGCTCAACCAGGCATACAACATAAACACTAGTTAATATTTCTTGAACTTACCTAGCACATATGATACAAATAAAAATAAAATACCATGGTTCCCTTCAGTTTTTCTACAATTTCTTCCCTTTTCCAATTTTTGGGACACAATATTTGTAGTCCATAAAAATTGCAAAATTTAAACAGAAATAGTTCAACAGCTATTATTTCTCCAATTTTGTGTGTCAACACCTTATTCTATGTAGATTTATTTAGTATTTTATATCTCATGCCCATATTTGCACAGCTTAGGGAGAACTGTTGGGAGAGGGAGAATTGTCAGGGTAGAGGAACTGGCTAGGGGGAGAATACTATGCCATTCCCTTGTCATAGGTAGCACCTAATTTCATGTTATTAATTGTTGGTTGAAAGACCTTGAGCGGGTCACAAGAGACTGTAAGACCTTGAGTGGGTCACAAGAGAATATAAGACCTTGAGCGGGACAAAAGAGACTGTAAGACCTTGAGTGGGTCACAAGAGATCTCTGATCGCACAGGCTATATTCTGGAATAGACCCCCGGGTATATACCAGGAGTAAATATAAAGTTCATTCCTTTTTCTTTAGTGTTATATATACAAGTTTTACTTCTGAAATATACATAGGTGTCTAATCCAGGAGTTTGCTATTCATATTATCAATATCATAAGAGAAAGTCAAAGCCTGGGAACTCGAAGTGTGCCCAGACATTGGCTTGTCCGGCTATAGACTACACGTGTATAAATTAATTAAAATAAAATAAAAAAATATTTTTAAAGAATATAAATGTAGATAAGGTCAATTTACTGCCTATCTGTATACTCATCCTATATTTACAAACACAGTTGTAATCACTGTAGTGAATAACTAACTGTACATTCTCATTCATTCAGGCATAATCACATGACATCACAGTCCCGGTGAAACTTGAAATGATCTTACAGGACAATAGGTCCTGTGAAACCTGGTATTTTACAGGACCTTGGTGACAATTTCAGGACCTAAAAATTTTGTATAGTTTTCCCAATTTATAGTAATTATTAGGGATAAGTCTTATGGGACAAGGGCAAGAGCATACAAATTGCATTTTTGGAAGTGTTGATATTCCATTTTAAATGAGATTGACCAAACATTAGGTTGACTAAAACAATGTGTGTACGTAAAAGATTATTTAATATTTGTAACAATAAACAGCAAAATTACAAATGTTGTAAAATGAACTGATCATGCTTGCAGGCAGTCTTATGTTTTTTCTTCTCTATCATCTTTATCATAGGTTTTGTGTAGCTTGTTTTGATTTAGTCACTGCAGCCAGGTGTCTTTGTGCTGAAAAAAAATAAAACACTTTTTTAGTAAATCATAATTCATCAATTTCAATATTTCCCCAAAAAAGTATTTCTTGAGTCCTAGTTAATACAAACTTAATAAGGTTCATGTGTATTTTGTTTTTTTTCCACTGAATTATAAAAAATATTGTCCTCTAATACTATCAAAATGGATCCGCTGCAAGTTAAAATACTTTTAAGTTACATTTTATTTGAGCATCACGATCATCATCACAATGAAATTTTAACTTCTTTTATTTACAACCGTTAATCTTACATAAATTCATATAAAGAATAATCATCGGATATTCACCACTACGAGTGTTTACAGAAGTTTATTTACCTATCATTTTCATTCGCCATTGACACATTTGACATGAAAAATCAAAAGGTTTAACTGAAGTTTTTGGCGACAAATTTTTGTAAAGCAAACATACATGTATATCAACATGATCACTAGACTTACCGACAAATTTATGCACTAAGCAAATTTATGCGCTAATTATGTCCATAATTGGTCTTAATTGTCATGAAGTGCTAATCTGTTAATATTGTTGTTTGTTGATACATGTATTTGATCGGCCACCTGTTGACTTCCAACATCCGCTCAATTGTATCGCCACGTTTCATTGGTATTCCAATTATACCGACCAATAAAAATTGGTTTAACAGACCGTTTTGATATAGGCGGAGCGTGGAAAATTTTGACATTTGGAAAATTATTGCACGTGTTTATCCTAATAAGGGCGACATTGTTTTTGCTTTTCTAAGCAAACTGGAGACAGAGCGCCTAGAAACGTGAAGAGTTTCTTTTTAATAGTTCTACTGCTAAAAAAAATTACAGGACAGTAGGTCTGGAGAATTTTCTAAATTTGTCGGACCTTTCAAAAAATTACCGGACATGACGGACAACAATAAAATTATATGAATGCAAACTTACTGTAAAGTCGTCCATTTCGTAACCCAACTGTTGATATGATTGGCGATAATCTAAAGATGCCGCTAGTTATTGTTTCATATTGAATATAAAGAACAATTATCCAGTGCACATTCAACAATTCACACCAATTAGTGTCATATTTATCAGCTGATAAACATGTAAACATACCATGCGGTCAGTGTATTAGACTGTGTTACTGTTTATAACGATATTTTATTTGGAAGGGAAGTAACAAATATAGACCAGTCAATGACCCCACAAAAAGGAGACTGTGTCCCAGTGTTTTGTGATAAGAAGCGGAAAAGCGGAAGTTGTAAATGGAAAACCAAATGTGTACTTTTCCATTCTTAAAATAGCAAATGCTAAATTTAGACTGGAATTATTCCAAAAGTTATACTTTTCGTAAGTTGGAGCCAATCATGATTTTCTTGAGCCAATTTAATAATTTTGGAGCCAATTTGCTCCTGCCAGCGCGAGCCCTGTGACCGACGGTCCGACGATGTTTCGCTTGGACTGCATCATTTTCTTTCATCATTATAGAATTATGGGTAATATCTTGTTCTTGTTGTGAGTTACTATGCTCAGTGAACTGTCTCTTGTTATGTCCTGTTTTTTTTTTAATGCCTTTATTTAATGTCGCCGCCGGAAAGCCCATATGGGCGACCGTACACTCAAGTCAGGCCATCCTAGAGCATCCCACCGGGATTTTTTTCGTCGATTTTTTTTCCAGCTTTTATTGGTGGAGGAAGACCCCAGGTGCCCCTTCGGGCATTATTTCAGGCATGAGCGGGCACCTGGGTAGAACCACCTACCCTCCGTAAGCCAGCTGGATGGCTTGCTCACATGAAAGATTTCGACCCATGTGAGGATCGAACCTACAGCGGTGGATGAGAGTGATTTGATATTATTTTATGCATGGGCAATTTACATTCCTTTTCTAAGGCAGAAATCATTTTCAAACTTTGCATTTAAAGTTAACCTCAGTAGTTCTTCATAGAACATTTTGAATATTATATTTATATAAATCAACTTTATGTTTGTTCTTTATAGAACGAATTTGATTTTATTTTATATAATAGAGGTCAGCAAGTTGCACCTGGTAAGATATGTTTTACTTTAAATTACTTAAAAGAAATGTATTGAAATGGATGAATTAAATAGTTGGAATTATTTGAAATGTGAAATGTTGAAATGATATTGATATAATTGAATTTGTATTTTAATTTGTGTTTTGTATTTCATGTATTTATAATTGTTTATTCATTTTATAGGTTTCATTTTCACATCATCAAAATAAATATTGAACACCCAGTCAGAGTTGGTCATGTATTTCAACCAAACCATACTCTACATATAGAATTCTATACCTATCAATGTAATTGTCAGTGTCAGTTCTAGTTAGGCGCTGCCAATTACCAATGCAACTCAATAATAATAGGCTGGGTATTTTGATAAACAATCGCAACTTTTTGGATTAATAAAAATCATCCAGTTTTCAAAGTAAAAATGGAAGCGGTGCATAAAATACTGAATGACAGCTTTAAAACGGAAAAATGAACTATTTTTAAACCGTCTTCCCTGTTCATAGGATTTGCCTAGTTTCATATTATAAACGAATATAATAAACGAAACCGTTATAAACTACAAAAGCGAAAGTTCAGAAACCAGTTATATCACTCGTGAAAGTGTACAGTCACATGCTATATTGGAATCCGGGTCAGCTCGGCCCTAAAACATACTCGGCCCCCGAGTCAGCTCGGCCCTATTCCAACTCGGCACGGGTCAACTTGGCCCACTTTTAAATATGGGTAAAAGACATCAAAGGACTCCTATTGTCAAGGGGTATTATTATCAACCAATGTGTATGTTAAGGATACAGAATATAATTAGGTGATAATTATGATTGACTCATTCATTCAAATTTGATTAGTGACCACCTGCAATTAATTAGAAGCTTATGCTATTAAGTAAACACGTTTTTGTTTCATATTTTTTTGAAAATTACTTTACAAACAAAATGCATCTAAGGAACACATTTTTATTATATCTATATTCACAGGCACAAGTATCGGACCTGGGAAGAAAAAATATGAAGTTTTTTTATCAATCTGTTCATATTTTTTTCTTCCCAGGTCTGATAATCGTGCCTGTGTCTATATTAATTTCATCGAATCTGCAAGACAAATAAATAACTTTTTTTCTAAATATACTTTATTTCGGCAGAGGTACAATGTATAATTATATAATAATAATAATAAGATATTTCTTATTATTCATTTACCTTAACAACATGCAAAGCAAAGTAAAAACGTTATATAGGCCTATATATTTTTGTAAAGTGGGCCGAGTTGACCCGTGCCGAGTTGGTATAGGGCCGAGTTGACTCTTTTCCCTATATTGCACAACTGTAAGGCACTAAGGGAAAAAAGTTATTCTTATGGTGATAAATCATGTAAATTAAAGATAATTTATAAATTTAAACAAAGAAATTATGAAAACACCGGCCGGTTTCTAAAGATTTATGGTTATTTCAAATTATATTGACAGCAAATGTTATGATTATCAAATGTGACTGATACCTTTTTGCAATTTTTATGCAGCCAAGTTCTAACGGAATCAAATTGAGCTATTGTTTCAACAGATTCGAAGAATTTTGCATTTGGCACCCCGTCTTTCTTTCTTTGGACGGCCATCTTTCTTTCGCGTTAGTAGGCCCGCATTAAATATTTAATTTTTCCTCTAAGTTTTCATGAAATAAAAACAGAGTATATAGTACTAAAATGATTTTCTTTATTTTCTTAACAAGTTTTGTAATTGATGTTTTATTTCAAATTGGATAAATTATTTTATTTTTATTATTTTATTCGTACTCAATATATTTCGTACCGAAATAAACACATTTTTCAACTTTGCTTGAAACAGAATAGGAATAGAATAAAATAAGAGAGACAGAAGAGAATTAATTTTTCATCTCATTTAACTTTTAAACAACAATATCAATATCAGTCAAATCCATGTATTAAAACATTTTAGGTTCGAAAATTTATTTGACGAATATACTTGACCCGGAAGTGGCATGATTCTAAGGGGCGACAATCATTTCATAACATATTTCAGACTTGTGGTGCTGTCAAAACAGAAAACAATTTGTGTCAACTGTGTTTTATTGCATTTAAAGCCAGAATGAGTGAGAAAATTCCTTGTGCAAACATTGTCACCAAAAATTGTGGTTCTGAATCCGATCCTCCGTCTATTCCAAAAAGAAGGTAAATTGCGGTCTCCCTAATTACCGACAAGAACCGTCAGGAACCGACAAGAAGTAAAAATGGGAAAATACGAATTAATTTCACTTATTCATCATTTAATAATAACAATTCTTAATATTTTTTACATAAAAAATATAATAAATTCGTTGTGAACCATGTTTATAGGCAAATATCTATACCGACAAGAAGTCAGTCTCATTTTCTCACCGTCAAGAACTCGGCCATCTTCCTATCATTGATTTTACATTAAGAATTTGTGTATAATAAGTGTTAAATCATAATTTATTTTAATTAAGACTATGTTGTATTATAAATTAATATGAAATTAGGCAAAGCCTATGAACGGGGAAGTCGGTAAAAAATCCTTTCATTTTTCCGTTTTAAAGGTGTCATTCGGTATTATATGTACCCACTTCCGTTTTCACTCGGAACACTCGACGATTATTATTAATCCGAAAAGTTGAGATTTGTTCCGTTATCGGAGTACAGCGCCTTTTATCATTGACTTACATTGTAAATGGCGGCGCCTAACTAGAACTGACACTGAAAATTTCATTGATAGGTATAGAATTCATATATTTTTTAATTGTTTTTTTTATTTGATTTTCTTTTAAATATACACGTGTAGTCTATAGCCGGGCAAGCCAAAGCCCGGGCCCGCTTCGCGGGCCCGGACTTTGACTTCCCCGTATTAAAACATTTTGATACCTGTAATAAACTTATATATTATAACATTTTAAATGCTGTGGGCAACGTCCCCGGGGACGAAGACCGGATTATATATATACAGCGGCAATAATATGAAATTAGACAAGGCCTATGAACGGGGAAGTCGTTAAAAATTCCTATCATTCTTTCCGTTTTAAAGGTGTCATTCGGTATTACATGCACCGCTGCCGTTTTCACTCGGAACACTCGACGATTATCATTTATCCGAAAAGTTGAGATTTGTTCCGTTATCGGAATACCCCGCCTATTATCATTGAGTAACATTGTAAATGGCGGCGCCCGACTAGAACTGACACTGAAAATTTCATTGATAGGTATAGAATTCTATATATTTTTTAATTGTTTTTTATTTGATTTTCTTTTAAATATACACGTGTAGTCTATAGCCGGGCAAGCCAAAGCCCGGACCCGCTTCGTGGGCCCGGACTTTGACTTCCCCGTATAATTATTATGTTAAATGTATTCTAATTCAATTAAAGAATATCATCATTAATGAATGATCTTATGAGAATATTCGCGGATACCGACAAGAAAGTTTCATTATTGCTATCAATGGCGTAGGTTTTTAAATGTGTTCAAATAATCTATTGTTAGTCTATATTCAATAAATAATTTTAAAACATTTCGTTGTTATTGATTACAAAATATCCTGCATTTAGGCAATATTACTGTACCGACAAGAAATGTGTTCATGTCTACCGACAAGAAATGTGTTCATGTCTACCGACAAGAAATGTTTTCATGCCTACAGTACCGACAAGAAATATTATCATGCTTCATGATCATAATTTCTTTAAAGAAACATTATGTATAGACAAGATATAACATATTTAATGAAAGTGATCAGTTATAGTTGTTTAAAATATAGTATTTCATAACTGTATCAAAATATATTTCATATATAAAGTTTTACATACCTGCCATTTAAATTATCCAATTATAATCCATTTACAATTTTTACACAAATACATCGGTAAAGCATGCAATAAGAATATAAGAAATAAAATAATGGACGGAAACATAAATTTAATTCAATTATTTTATTAGCATATATACATATAACATATTCAGGGCAAAAAAAAAATTTCAAGTACAAATTTCAAAATCGATTGCTCAAACAAAATTGATTGATATTACTCAATTAAAGCTTGTGCGCGTGTGTTTCTCACTCAGTTAGCTTTGAGCAATTTAATTTAATCAAAGCTGTGAAAACTTTAATTATATAAGCGTGTATTGCTTGTTCATAGCAAACGCTTGAGGTGAGAAGGTGCGAAAACAACTTCGAAATGAAAAGCTGTGAAAGAAAGAGATAATTCGTACATTGTATATAAAAAGTAGCAACGAAAGAAAAAAATGCCCGTAAGTTTAATGCTTGTGTTGTGTTTGTGTACAGTACATAACTTATATGAACTTTCACATTTCTGCAACCTCTGGCGCGGCCCAAAAGCCCGTAAGTTCAAAGCAGTGCTGTAACTTATGTAAATAATTTTAAATTTTAAAAGAAGTTAAAAATTTCTGCAACCTCTGGCGTGGCGTAACTGCCCGTAAGTTTTATGATAATAAAATATTAAAATTACAAATTTCAAGTTGAGCTGAATTGACTTTATATTTCTAAAGATTGACTGTCAAAATGGTGTCAACAGTTAATTGATATTGGAAAATGTTTAGGATAAAATTATAAATCTGCCTAAAATTTAAAAAGACTGCCCCACTCTCTTTTACAAACTAAGCGTTATACGTAAATCTAACGGATATTTACAGAAATTTCATTTGGATGTGTGTGTTATCTATTAATATGAAATATGAAAACATATTTTGATCTGCACCCGTTCACTCACTATATACCCCTGGATAGGCATAATGTCACTTTAAAACCTATAGTGGGGATATCTGTTTATTTCTTTACTTCTAGTGGAGAAATGAACCACAACCTGATGAGACCTGTGGAGGGGTCGAAATAGGTTTCAATGTTTTTTCATTAAACAAATACAAGCGTATAATGCATAACATCACATCTTTGTAAGTCACGATGTCCGTCTTTTCTTCTCAATGGTGAGAATTAAGTCATCATCAATTTCTTCAAAAACTGAAAAAAAGTACAAAAAAAAGATTATATACATGTTCTTTCTACACTACAGCTCGTTCTCAATTTCTTGTCGGTAAATCTTCATTACGCATGATCCCTGTTTTTTTTCTTGTCGGTAATCGATTTTTTAAAATATATTTTAAAACTAAATGGAATAAACACAAATATGTTTTTCTTATATGCATTAAAATATGAAAGTTTAAAGTTATTTAATTACAAAAAAGATTATAAACATGTTCTACATCGACACTACAGCTCGTTCTCAATTTCTTGTCGGTAAATCTTCATTACGCATGATCCCTGGTTTTTTCTTGTCGGTAATCGATTTGTTAAATATATTTTAAAACTAAATGGAATAAACACAAATTATTTTTCTTATATGCATTAACATATGAAAGTTTAAAGTCTTAAAATTTGTTTAATTACAAAAAAGATTATATACATGTTCTACATCTACACTACAGCTCGTTCTCAATTTCTTGTCGGTAAATCTTCATTACGCATGATCCCTGGTTTTTTCTTGTCGGTAATCGATTTGTTAAATATATTTTAAAACTAGAAGGATTAAACACAAATATTTTTTCTTATAAACATTAAAGTTTAGTCTTAAAAGTTATTTAATTACAAAAAAAAAAGATTATATGCATGTTCTTTCTACACTACAGCCCGTTCTCAATTTCTTGTCGGTAAATCTTCATTACGCATTCATGATCTCTGGTTTTTTCTTGTCGGTTGCATATACATTCATGCAATATCATGAAAAACTGATTTATGACTACAAACAAGGTTGAAACATGTTCATAAGATATTCTCACCACAACTTTTGCAACTGATTATATTATTTATATCATATTGAAAATAACAAATCTTTTTTGTCGGTGTCAACGTAACAGTAACAGTACGCGTTGCACTCGACTTTTTCTTGTCGGTACGCATATATTTAATTTTCTATAAAAATACAAGAAAACCCTTATCAAATATGAAAAATTTATATGCCCTGCATGTTTAACAATCATAAAAACACTTTTGTACGTGTTTATTTGTAATATATAGGCTCTTGTCGGTTCCTGACGGTTCTTGTCGGTAATTAGGGAGACCCGGTAAATTGCCGGTTCTATCCACAGACGCCTGGGGTTTGGAGCTCAAAACGCCTTTAAAATCCAAATAAAATGCATATTTGTCAATCCCAGGACATGTACTGATCATATATATCAAAAAATCTTAATATATGCCGTTTTGAAAAAAAATCATATTTCAACATCTATAATAATACACAAGATAAAAATGTTCGCCGGAAAAAATCCGCACCCCTACCGTCATAATCACCATGTATTTTACTCCATTTCCAATATTTTCACATAATCCTTTGGTCCATCGACACAGAAGATATAATTCTTCACGATGATGGTCAATTTTAAACTTCAACGGTAATATAAACAACGCAACAGCCGAAATAAACATCAATATTCTCGCCGTTTTTTTTCAACGACAAAAACTTTCGATAAATTCAATGGACCAGACGGCTATGAACGAAGCTATCCGATTATGTGGCCCCAGCTTTGCCGTGTGCAAAATGCGCAGCGCTTTTAAGTTTGGGAACCACATAATCGGATAGCTTCGTTCATAGCCGTCTGGTCCATTGAATTTATCGAAAGTTTTTGTCGTTGAAAAAAAAACGGCGAGAATATTGATGTTTATTTCGGCTGTTGCGTTGTTTATATTACCGTTGAAGTTTAAAATTGACCATCATCGTGAAGAATTATATCTTCTGTGTCGTGGACCAAAGGATTATGTGAAAATATTGGAAATGGAGTAAAATACATGGTGATTATGACGGTAGGGGTGCGGATTTTTTCCGGCGAACATTTTTATCTTGTGTATTATTATAGATGTTGAAATATGATTTTTTTTCAAAACGGCATATATTAAGATTTTTTGATATATATGATCAGTACATGTCCTGGGATTGACAAATATGCATTTTATTTGGATTTTAAAGGCGTTTTGAGCTCCAAACCCCAAGCGTCTGTGGTTCTATCATGATTTAACAGTTAAGCCATTTATGTTGTCAGGCCCTGTACTGGTCATTGGGTGAGTAAGGGTGCAGCCTGACCGGGACTTGGCAATCTCCTGGAATAAACCCAACTGTTTATCATTGTCTCTATTTAATACAGTATAATTTGAAGTATGTGCATAAATAAATGAACTAGGGATGAGATCAACATGAACTTGATGAAGTAGTCAAAAGAAGTGGGGATTAAAAAGGGCTTAGTCTTCTATCAGAGCCCAGAATCATCCTACAGGTACATATATGGAATGAGCCTACTATTCAATAATGCTTCTTGTTAATAGCCAATGCCTAACATCAGACCTTAAAAATACTGTATGGCAGCTCTACCAAATGAGCTCTCCAACAGCAAGGACAGACTCTTTACTAAGTGATTGAACAGTCCTAGACTGTAACTTACTCCACCACTGTATTGAAATTCGTCCACAAAAATAGTACTGGGAAATTGACTTGGAGCTTTATATAGTCACAGCACCATGTTTTGTGCCATGTGATGATGTAATAGGGTGAGAAAGATGTTTGGCCTGACCTGGACTCAAACCGGGTACTCTTGGAATACAACCTGAGTTATCCAGCCACTAACACATTTCTTCCCTTTCTGTTAATAAGGTTGTCCTTTTCTATAAAATCCCAGGCTCTTCAAATTCTTGTTGTTTCATGCTGGGTAAGTCTGCTGAACATGCATTAATTTTTTCATTGATACAGAATTAAATCCATTTTTCTTATTAATGGTTTAGCTGCTGATATTAAAATAATGGTGTGGTAAGATGGTCGAGGTGGTTCCACAGGCACGAGTATTGGACATGGGAAGAAATTATATGACTAGATTGATAAAAATTCTGTGTTCATCTTAAATGTGTCAAAAACCAAAGAAAAAAAAAATTGTGAAATATGATTATAAATATACTTACACACTTATTTGAGAGCCAAATAGGAGGTCACTATCTAATGCCCAAATTTCTACTATGGATATTATAACCCTTTTTGAAAATATAAAATTCTACATTATCCAAGCACTTATTGTACATAGTGGAGCATTATTTCCTACCAACAGCTCTTGTTATTCATGTATATTGCAACATTTTGTATGTATAAAGCTAGTCTACGTTATTTCTGAACAATTGTTGTATAATTTTAATGCCAAATTGTACAATTTAGGTAGAAAATGTTTCTGATTTATTACTAAATGTTTTTTATTTTGTAGACAAGAACTGCTTAAATGGAATGGATGGGGATATAAAGATTCCAAATTCATATTAAACAAAGACAAGCATGTGGAATTTACAGGAGAAAGGTTGGTTACTTGATGTTAAATATGCCTAGATATGTTTTTTTTTAAAAAAAGACCTGTATCAGATATAATTTGCCTTAGATAGTTAATGTTGCATTATTTGCATAGGCATTTTTGTCATTAGCACTGTCTTAAGAACAAACAGAAAGAGACAAAAAAAGACTGTAAATATTTCAAAATATTTTGCTGGATTATTTGAGCCGCGTCAAGACAAAACCAACGTAATGCGTTTGCGACCAGCATGGATCCAGACCAGCCTGTGCATCCGCGCAGTCTGATCAGGATCCATGCTGTTCGCTATCAGTTTCTCTACTTGTAATAGGGTTTGTAAGCGAACAGCATGGATCCTGATCAGACTGCGCGGATGCGCAGGCTGGTCTGGATCCATGCTGGTCGCAAACCCATTATGTTGATTTTGTTGTGACGCGGCTCATTTATAGTTTTATTACATGTATTTTAATTCCAACAGGTATCAGCTGAGCGGTCATACAATGACGTTATTGAGAGACTGGATGATGGCTACAGTTGGTATCAGTTTAGAACATAGAACACCTCCGCAGGTCTGTATTTATTTGCTGTAGAAGCTACTGGTTCTTATTTAATGTCTGATAGTTGTTTTGTTTCTTTTGTAAACAGTGTTTTGATAGAAATAAATGTAGACTGACTTTTTTTCAGTCATTTTGTTTACAGTGTATGTATGTATCTTGATAACACATTTGATTAGACAGATGTTTTGTATTGATTTCAAAATGTTTAATGAAGTTCACTGAATTTATTGAATGAACAAAGATTCTTATAAATAACAAAGAAATATTGTTAGCATTACTTTTTAGTGCTTTTTTATGCTGAAATAATGCTATCAGAGCTGCATTTATTTAATATGTGGAAATGTTCTGCTTTGTAGCCGGAGATATTAGCCAAGGACATGCCGACCCCAATTAGGAATGAAGGTTTTCTGGCTGATATGAGAAGAACAAATATTTCAATATCTGATGATTGTCAAGATAGGCTCTTCAGAGCACATGGTAGATAACCATTGATTACAATACTTTTATCAATGTAGTTACCTCCCTTCATATTTTCCACATTAGTTATCTCCTTTTGAATGTTTAACTTTGTCATAGTATTTACCTCCTCACTGGCACTTGACACACTATCAGTATACGCTTATGTACTATAAAAAGGTAGAATCATCATAAAAAAAATGACAAACAGTCTTAGCATTAATAAGAGAATCAGTTTAAGATGGAATTTGTGCTGTGATTTACTATTGGGACAAATGTATATATTTTTATTTCAGGTCATACATTGAGTGAAATGTTTGTACTTCGTGAAGGAAATTTCAAAAGAATACCGGATATAGTTATTTGGCCAAGTGAGTAACATATGAAACAAAATCATACATTTGAAACTGTATAACATGTTAAAAAATAGAACTGCATTGTATTTTAAGTTAAAGCAGCCAAAAAAAGAGGTCTGACTTAAGCTTGCTGTGAGGAAGCTATCCAGCTAGCTTACAGAAGGTCAGTGGTTCTACCGCAGTGCTTGCTCCTGCCTGATATAATGCACTGTCTTCCTCTACCAGTAAAAATGAAAGGTCTTCATATGACTTTTGCAGTGTTGGTGTGACTTAAAATAAAAAAAAAATTAAAACAAACATTGTCAAATTTGCCATTTGCTACTTTCTTTAAATTGTGCTATTTTGCAGCATTCAGTTAAATCTAAATACAATCAGTGAAGTGAACTGGTCACGTGTAAATTCTGTAGAGGCTAAGTGATTAAGCCTTTGTTAATGCATGTTTTACTCTATACAAGATTTTTAGTGTTACAAGTTATGAAGTCATTTATTGTTGTGTCGCCTTGAAAAGGTGACATTTAGGGGTTACTTTTGTCGGCTGTGTCGGCGGCGGCGTCTGTGTCGGTGTCGTTGTTGGCGTCCCCTAAAGCTTGTCCGATGCATAACTCAGTCACTATAAGTCTGATTGACTTCAAACTTGGTATGCATGCTTCTTTTAATAACCTGAAGAGCAGTGCACAAGAACCGGTACTCTGCAGTTCTTATTTTTAGCTCACCTGTCACAAAGTCGTCCGTCCGTCCAGCCGTCCGTCCGTCCGTAAACTTTTACTTTAAATGACATCTCCTCATAAACCACTTAGCCAATTTCATCCAAACTTCACAGGAATGTTCCTTTGGTGGTCACCTTTAGAAATTGTTCAAAGAATTTAATTCCATGCAGAACTCTGGTTGCCATGGCAACCGAAAGAAAAAACTTTAAATATCTTCTTTTAAAAAACCCTAAGAGCTAGAGCTTAGATATTTGGCATGAAACATCTTCTAGTGAGTGTCTACCAAGTTTGTTCAAATAAAAGCCCTGGGGTCAAAATTGGCCCCGCCCCGGGGGGTCATTGATTTTCCCTATATACATATAGTAAAAACTTAAAAAATCTTCTTTTAAAGAACCAAAAGAGCTACAGCTAAGATATTTAGCATGAAACATGTTCTAATGGGTGTCTACCAAGTTTGTTCAAATAAAAGCCCTGGGGTCAAAATTGGCCCCCCCCCCCCGGGGTGTCATTGATTTTCCCTATATGCATAAAGTAAAAACTTAAAAAATCTTCTTTTAAAGAACTCAAAGAGCTATGGCTAAGATATTTAGCATCAAACATGTTCTAATAGGTGTCTACCAAGTTTGTTCAAATAAAAGCCCTGGGGTCAAAATTGGCCCCGCCCCAGGGGGGTCATTGATTTTCCCTATATGCATATAGTAAAAACTTAAAAAATCTTCTTTTAAAGAACCAAAAGAGCTACAGCTAAGATATTTAGCATGAAACATGTTCTAATAAGTGTCTACCAAGTTTGTTCAAATAAAAGCCCTGGGGTCAAAATTGGCCCCGCCCCGGGGGGGGGGTCATTGATTTTCCCTAATATGCATATAGTAAAAACTTAAAAAATCTTTTTTTAAAGAACCAAAAGAGCTAGAGCTAAGATATTTAGCATGAAACATGTTCTAATGGGTGTCTACCAAGTTTGTTCAAATAAAAGCCCTGGGGTCAAAATTGGCCCCGCCCCGGGGGGTCATTGATTTTCCCTATATGCATATATAGTAAAAACTTAAAAAATCTTCTTTTAAAGAACCAAAAGAGTTAAAGCTAAGATGTTTAGCATGAAACATGTTCTAATAAGTGTCTACCAAGTTTGTTCAAATAAAAGCCCTGGGGTCAAAATTGGCCCCGCCCCGGGGGATCATTGATTTTCCCTATATGCATTTAGTAAAAACTTAAAAAATCTTCTTTTAAAGAACTCAAAGATCTATGGCTAAGATATTTAGCATCAAACATGTTCTAATAGGTGTCTACCAAGTTTGTTCAAATAAAAGCCCTGGGGTCAAAATTGGCACCGCCCCGGGGGTCATTGATTTTCCTTATATGTGTATAGCAAAAACTTAAAAAATCTTCTTTATAAAAACCCAAATAGCTAGAGTTAAGATATTAAGCATGAAACATCTTTTAGTGAGTGTCTACAAAGTTTGTTCAAATAAAAGACCTGAGGTCAAAATTGGCCCCGCCCCGGGGTCATTGATTTTCTTTATATGTGTATAGCAAAAACTTAAAAATCTTCTTTGAAAAAACCCAAATAGCTAGAGTTTAGATATTAAGCATGAAACATCTTCTAGTAAGTGTCTACAAAGTTTGTTCAAATAAAAGCCCTGGGGTCAAAACTGGCCGGGCCCCAGGGGTGTCATTGTTTTTAACTATATGTGTATAGTAAAAACTTAAAAAAAATCTTCTTTCAATAAAGCCCAATGAGCTAGAGCTTAGATGTTTAGCATGAACATCTTCTTATGGGTGTCTACCGAGTTTGTGCAAATAAAAGCCCTTGGGTTAAATTGGCCCTGCAACGTTGGGGGGGGGGGGGGGGGGTGGGGGTTGGGGGGCCTTATACAGGTGAGCGACCTCAGGGCCATCATGGCCTCTTGTTTGAGTTATTGCCCTTTGTTAATTTTCATACTTTAATTTTGTCCGGGCCATTTCTCTTCAACTAAAAAAGCTATGGACTTGAAACTTCATAGGATGATAGATCTCATTAAGAAGAAGTGCAGTGCACAAGAACCGGTACTCTGCACTTCCTAATTTTTGAGTTATTGCCCTTTGTTAATTTTCATACTTTATTTTTGTCCGGGCCATTTCTCCTAATGTATAAAAGCCATGGACTTGAAACTTCATAGGATGATAGATCTCATTAAAAAGAAGTGCAGTGCATAAGAACTGATACTCTGCATTTCTTATTTTTGAGTTATTGCGCTTTGTTGATTTTCTTACTTTATTTTTGTCCTGGTCATCTCCTCAAGTATGAAAGCTATGGACTTGAAACATCATAGAATGATAGATCTTATTGATAAGAAGTGCAGTGTACAGAAACTGCTGCTCTGCACTTATTATTTTTTGAGTTATTGCCCTTTGTTATTTTTCATATTTCATTTTTGTCCTGGCCATTTCCCCTAAACTACATTGTTCACAAGGCGACACATCCGACTCGTTGAGTTCTAGTTTTTCACAAAGCAATGTTTAATTTGATATTGTTTTAATTTCAGGCTGTCATAATGATGTAGTTAAAGTGGTAGACCTGGCAAACAGACATAATGTCTGTATTATACCATTTGGAGGTAAATACCTTATCATGGTGGCCCTTTAGATATTAACCTTTAGCATGCTGAATTTATTAAATGGACTTGTCCAGCTTCCATATTTGGAACTGTCCATTATCAATTTTGGGGATATCAAAGATGAAAATTTAAAGTTTGTTTGCTGACCGTATAGATCCTGGTCAAACTGTATGGATTTGTAGACTGGCCTGGCTTTATACTGGTGGCAACACTTATTACTTTCCATTCCAACAAGGTGAGGTTGGACAGTTTATTATTACTGCTGAAACAATTGAATTTGGGATAATAAAAAAAATGATGTAAGTTTTATCTTACAACCGAAATTTTAAACTGTTATGAAACTGTTGAATGTATAAAGAAAGAAAACACACCTATTGCCAATGAAAGGCACATGTGAATTGTAGAGGCATTTTTTTGAAAGAACATTGTTAAATGGTTGATATCTCTGAACCAGTTTGATTTAATAAATAAGATTTTGCATAATGATATAGTATATATATAAAAAAGGAATTAATTGCATCAGGATTGATCTTAGGTATTGTTGAGTTATGACCCAGGTCACCCTAATTAGCGATATTCTAAGATTGATAATTTACCTATACTATTTTCCATTTTCAGGGGGAACAAGCGTGTCTGAAGCTCTGTTATGTCCAACAGAAGAAACTAGAATGATTGTCTCCCTTGATATGTCACAAATGGTGAGTACAATATTTGTCATACGTGCTGTATATGTGTTACAATGTTTGTTTTAGATAATTGTTGACATTTATTTCACTATTTTCTTGAAACAGCACAATGTTTTGTCATGTAATGCAACATATTTCTATATAGGAGAAAAGTTCATCAAAAATAACTAATGAACACAATTTCAAATCAAGGCATTTTCACCATATCACCAGGGGCCAACATAAATCAAAGTCCCAATTACCAAAAAAAAGAATACCAAGAGCAGCTCAAAAAATAAAACTGATTCAGCTTCTGAGAAGCACTGAACCATTTTGATTTGTTTCTTAAAAGGTTTGACAGGTTATAGTATCATACATGTGTTTAAAAAATGCAATAAGTAATGTATATGGCAGTATTTCAATTTTCTGTAATTTCTTAAATTTCCCAAAATGCCAAATATTTTTTCCAAGTTCATGTCAGGGGCCTTTTTCCAAAATAACTGCAAAGGGTCCTGCAAATCATAAACTTTCTGTGGAAGCATACATTTGTGATTTTTTATTTACTATATATACAAATGTATCATATACAAGACTGATCCAGTAAGAGTAGATAATTTTTTTATCATGAATATTCTATTTTGCAAGTACAGTGTAATAAGAATTTATCAGTGTGAATTGGGAAGATTTTAGACTGATTATTATTTTAGAACAAGATACTGTGGGTAGATGAAAAGAATTTAGTTGCTCATATAGAAGCTGGTATCATTGGCCAGGACCTTGAGAGATTGGTAAGTTAACCAGTACTGGTTATATACACATTGTTACCGTGAGCAAAATTTTTATATCATAATGTGAACTTTAAATGGTCAAAGTTTTAATTTGGTCAGACAGTGCTGGTACTGGTGGCATATGTAAATAAACAAAAAATGTATACAAGGTACATTGCAATAAATTCTTTTATAGCAGAGACCATTTTCAGGCATTCATCCCCCCCCCCCCCCCCCATAAAAAAATCTTTAAAATCATGCAGTTTTCCCTTAAAAATTCAACATTTTATCTTTTTTTTTCTCCCAGTTGCAATAATTATTTGTTATATGTAACCAATTTTGAGGGATAAGCACATACTCCTACTTGTGAAAAAAGCCCTGGAATATATTTTTCACTATTTTGTATTGATAAATTGACTATAGTCTTTATTTACAAAATTTTAAAGCTTAGTCTATGTAAACTTTGATGATTCCATTATTCTTTTTTTTTATTTGACTTTATTTATGTATCAGTGATATATTATTTAATGTGAAGTTTCGTTACAGCTGGGCAAGAAGGGTTACTGTACTGGACATGAGCCTGACTCTATGGAATTCAGCTCCCTGGGTGGCTGGGTAGCAACTAGAGCTTCTGGAATGAAGAAAAATATATATGGCAATATTGAAGATTTAGTAAGTTTCTGTTTCTATATTTTATATACTTTGGAGTTATATAAATTTTGAAGTTTAAAATTGTTGAGAAGGTTTATACAAGATCTAAATTAATTGTACTTTTAAATTGATGTTTTCATCGTCAGTACTTGACCAATATACGGTTTCTAATATCACATGATTTAACCTAGCTCCCTTACCAACAAAGTAGGACCCGCATCGGCAGCTACATATTTTTTCCCAAACAATTTTTAATATCAACCTTTGGTCAGTCACTGTTAAAACAACCAATCTTTTGTAATATATTGTTAATTCAGCTCACCTTGACAATGAAAATATGAGCATAATGTCACTTTAAACTAGCCTCAGTAGATTTTGTAATGATAATAACATGTTGTGTTGTATATTTAGGTAGTTCATGTAAAGTGTGTCACACCAAAAGGTACATTAGAGAAGTCATGTCAAGTTCCAAGAATGTCCTGTGGACCTGATATACACCATTTTATCCTTGGATCAGAAGGTATGGGTCTGATATTGTCTGTTGCCATGGAAACACAGATTTATTTTGAGGATTGTATCATAATAGTTTTATTTTCTGTTCTGTAATAATGGTGTAGGTTTGATCAGTGGTAAATCTAAATTAACTTAAATAAACAATTTTTGTTTTTCTGTATTTTTAATGCAGATTTAAACACAGTTTGGGGCGTCCATGGTTGAGTGGTTAAGGCTGTTGCCCCTCACCGCTGTGGGTTCGAATCCGGACAGGGACTTTGGATTCTTTCATGTGAGGAAGCTATCCAGCTAGCTTACGGAAAGTTGGTGGTTCTACTCAGGTGCCCTTTTGTGCCTGAAATAATGCACGTAAGTGCATGTGAGGTCTTCCTCCATATGACCTTTACTGTGTAGGTGTGACGTAAAACCCAATCAAACAAACAAACAAAAAAACACAGTTTTGGTAATATCTCAGCAGTCTGTTTAGATAGCCAGTTTCCCTTGATAACAAACCTGTAATTACTGATTTCTCTCCTAGTGAATATTGAATTTGTTTTATAAGGTACTGCACATTTATATGGCTGACTTTCATTGGACAATCGTGAGCTGCTGAAAAATTATGAGTGAATTTTGTTTGAATCAAAGAAAAAAATCGTTTTATGCATATGATTGATTATTACACTAATGTGTGTTATATAAACATAGCAATGTTTAAACAAGGCCATATAATCTGTCAAAGGTCTTTACAGTAACAAACTTCTACATGTATATATTCTGCCTTATATACTGCTTTCATCATACAATCCTGGTTTAATATCCAACATTCTTGGCCTAACATGAAGATCCCAAACTTGTACTGTCCTAGCTTAATCTTGTTCAATCCTGGCATAACACAAATACCAAGGCTTGATCACTCTTGATCTAACAGGAAGACCACACTATGTACAGCCTGGCCTAACAAGAATGCCAAGTCTCATACTATCCTGTCCTAGTATGAAAACTGCCCCTAATACATTTCAGGCCAAGCAAAATCTACTCCAGCATACATGTTTCAGCTAAGATACTCTAAAAATAATTCTGTTATATATGCAGGTACTTAATATGTGAAATAACCTTATAATATAATTTGGTACACTAGGTGTATAATAGCACTATTGTTATAATAACAGATACACTTGGTGTGTAATAACACTTTTATAACAGCAGGAACACTAACACAAGGTGTATAATAACAGATTGATATTATCATGTAGTGGATATACTGCATACAAAACTTGCTTTCTTACATTAACAGGTACACTAGGTGTAGTAACAGAGGTTACTATGAAGATTCGTCCAGTCCCTGAATGTAAGAGATATGGCTCTATTGTATTCCCAAAGTTCGAGAATGGAGTCGCCTGTCTTAGAGAAATTGCCAAACAGGTTAGTATGTCATGTCATCTTTTTAATGATATCATAATAATCTTAATGATGTAATAGGCTAACTTCTTATATAATGTAAAGAGGGTTACTGCGATAAGGTGAAGATATTTGATTTTAACTGTAATTTGTTTTCGTTGAAATTTTTGGATAAATATTGGAAATCTTGACAGTTTGAAATGGATTGAGGAATTCAATGCTTAAGTTTCTTTATTCTGACATATGGCTGCTGGTGAGCATAAAAGGTAAATTGCGCGTGGCCGAATGGTTAACTTGTCAGATTAGTGATCTAAGGACTAATGGTCGTGTGGGTTCATACCCCATCAGGAGCAAGCCATTGTTTCCTTGAGCAAGAAATTTTACACACATTGCTCAGTACTGGTTGGTTTCAGGAAGAATTTTGAAAGTATTTCAATAAGCTTATAGCTTCGAACACAATCAAACTAAAACAGATGGTGTAAAACAAACTGATACAGTCAACTATCATTATCTCGACATCGTTTTTCTCGATATTTTGTTATCTCGATGAAATTTTGAAAGTCCCAATTTTCTTCCTTCTTTATCTATATTGGAAATATTTGTTTATCTCGATATTTTTTTTTTTTTTGAAATTTTCAGTATCTCGATGTAAAATTTCAGCCCCAACAGTTATTTTCACACTATTTAGTATTATCCTTTGTTTACGTCGACTAATAGTTTTCTTTCCTCTGTTCCCTTCAGACATGTGAAAAACACAAACTAGACAATAATTGCTCCATAGCGCGTGTCATGATGATGATTATGTTTGTAACAAGTTTAGCTGTTTTTATAAAAGTTAATCTGTTTAGCGTGTTGATTGACTTACGTCCAAAATGAGTTAATTTTACGTTCTTTATAAATATTCGAACACTGTATCAATTCATCATGACTTTAAATGTTAATGAAATAGTGAAAGTATAGAAACGCTATCGTTGCAATATTGTTTCACAACATCACCACCAAATCAACCAGTGGTTAAACAATCTCGAGAAAGGCCCGATAAATAACCCGGGAGGATATCCGGATCAACCACCCTGAAAACAATGTTTTCACTTTATTGGTGTATTACTGAGTAAACTTCACTATGTGTTTTTATCACAGACATCCGTATTTCCGCTGGAAAACATCCGCTAATGTTACTTTGTTAAATATTGACTAGACCTGTGAAAACAAGACATGGGGATATCATAGTTTATTTGACATAAAGTTTGCACATGTCTTTTGTAAAAATCTGTTTCTGCCTTGTTCAAACCCTAATATGTTTATCTCGACATTTCGTTATCTCGATATTTTTTGGACGGTCCCGACGACTTCGAGATAACGAGAGTCGACTGTATTTGGCAAAATTAAAATTGACTCTAAACTATACATGTGCACAGTAAAGATAGTTAATTTTTTACTATAATTATTACATGTATAGTAAAGTAATTCTGGTATGATGTTTGATGGAGTGTTGAACTTGATAATTGTACCGAAAAATTGCACTTGTTCATGTATTGTTTAATAACAAAGAACATGATGTTGTGAGTTTGAATGAGATGAGGGTGTAAATTTTGATGTCTTTTGACCAATTAGCGTAATTTTCTATCATATGTTTAACCTTACAGAAATGTGCTCCAGCCTCAATAAGACTAATGGACAATGAGCAATTTCAGTTTGGTAAGTAGATAAATATTTTTATGCTTCCCAAGGGGTGAGCATAACTTTGGGGAGCATATAGTCACCGCTTTATCCGTCTGTCCTCACTACCGAATAGGGATAGGGGGCGATGTAACTGTAAACAGAACAAAAGAGAATAATAAAAGTTCATTCCATAACAATAGAGTTAGGGGCCATTGGCCCTCTATTGAACAACAGAAAATAACAAAAAAATGGCCCCTTATTCCATTTTGGGCGGACGTCCGTCCGCTTTTCTTGTTCAGGACATTACTCTGTAACAACAAGAGATATCAATATGAAACTTTGTAGGTTGATAGATCTCATTGGGTAGATGTGCAGTGCACAAGAACCGTAACTCGGCCTTGCCTAATTTTGGAATTATTGCCCTTTGTTTATTTTTATACTTTGAACATTGTTCGGAACATAACTCTAAAACTATAAGACATATCAACATGAAACTTTGCAGGAATACAGAGCTCATTGGGTAGAAGTGCAGTGTAAAAGAACCATAACTCTGTCTTGCCTAATTTTGGAGTTATTGTCCTTTGTTCATTTTTATACTTTGAACTTTGGGCAAAAGAACCATAACTCTGCCTTGCCTAATTTTGTAGTTTTTGCATTTTGCTCATTTTAACACTTTGAACTTTGTCCAGGACATAATTATAAGAGATATGAACAAGAAACTTTGTAGGTAGATAGACATCATTTGGTTGATGAGCAGTGCAAAGACAGTAACTCTGTCTTGCCTAAGTTTGGAATTATTGCACTTTGAACTTTGTGCAGGACAAAACACTGAAACTACAAGAGGTAGCTTTTCTAGTTCCAACACTTTTTCGGAGAGCATCACAGGTTCTTGTATATTGAGTGCTGATTATCAAAATATTTTCGACCCCTATAGCCTTGCCTCAAGTCAGTTTGCTGTTAATTTTAATGGCCTCTTTGAATGAAAACATGAGACAGAGTATTGTCAGCATAATTTAGTTAAATATATGGGTTGTCCTAATATTCTGTGACAAGATTGTTTAAAAGCTAAATAAAATAGGTATGATTTTGATATTTTAATATGTTATAAACCCATATAATTGAAACATTTTCACAAATTTACATAGAAAAATATCAATAAACAGCAAAAATATGCCATAAAAACCATGGCAACTATCTGAATCGCGGCGCAAGTCAAAGAAGGTTTTAGTTTTAGTGATTATTAAGCAGAAAGTTATCAATTGTATCCCATTGGATTAAACCGATAATCGATTGGGACAAATTTCAACTTTCCACCACTAACCATCATGAAGCAGGTCTCTAGGTCAAAAGTCAAGGTCACATAAAGAGGTCTGATAAAACACTTAAAAATTTATAAAATTTCTACATACATAGTAGATCTGTTGTATGACTGGGCACATGACATATTTGTGTTCACATTGTAAGACATAGTGTTGTGTGCAAATTCAGGCCTCTTTGGTCAAGGTCACATTCAGTGATCAAAGTTCCAGGGTCACATGAGAAAATAGAAATTTGAATATAGAGTATAAAAACATCATGATTAGTCATATTTTTTGTAAATGTTCACTTGCATGCGTTTGTGATGGGCATATTTTGTAAAAAGTTGCAACTCTTTTTCTGAAGTTCTACATGTGTCAATGGCTTCATAATTTACACACTTAAATGCCAATTTGGAGTCTATGACCATGGGAAGTAACGTAACTGTGGGTTTCATTTCCCCCCTGTTGTTTCCCTGTTTAGTAAACTTCTTTTAGACAAAATGGATATATTTTCAGTATTATATGTACCAGTGTCTTCATATTACAGGAACTAACTTACAAAGTACAGTGAAACTCACTTATAGCAAACATAGATACAGCGTACACTCGATTATAAGAAACACTGTCGCTTGGTCAAGATTTTCGATTTTTTCCATTCTTTATCTTATATTAAAATCTTTGCTTATAGCATACTCGATTATAGCGTAACATCAGTTACAAGTAACCATAATTGTCCCAACCAAACATTTATGACAGTAATTAAGTTGTTTTAAGCAAACTATGATTTTCATTGTGACATGCTTTCACATGTGACCTTGATACACGTAATTTAGCAGATATAAACGCAACTATGGAAGTAATTAATCAATAATTCTTTTGTAAAACTAAGAATTAAATCAGATAATTTGTGTCCATTTTAAAATTGGAATGGCAAGATATATCAAACTAAATGTCAAGGTCCAAACGTGTTCTTCATAACCGAGTTTCACTGTACATGCTTTTGACAAGTTAAAAACCTTGGTTGGTCCTCTTACTTTGGTATCACAAGGTCAAGGTCACCAGTGCCAAAATTAGTTTTTGTTTTTACACTTTTGCTTATACAGTCTTTCTTTGTTGACTGATGTTTTTCATCTTTTGTAAGTAGATAACATAGGTGTTCATCTATGTGTGGAATTATGGGTCACTGGGGCCATGGTCAAGGTCATGCTTTTATATATATTTGCAATTTGAATAGTTTTCATTGTTGCGTCAATATATGGAATCATTTTTCATTTTCATTGAATAGCAAGGAAACGACAATTTTCTTTTTTTTCTAGCAAGGAAAGAAGATAATTACTCTGTCAAGTTATATAACTGAATGTTATTTATTATTTTTCTTTAGTGAAATCACTTATAAACAAAAATAAATCTTAAAACACTCAGACTCTGTTGCAATAAATACTTTACAGAAGTATGAAATATTATATTCTAAAACATTTCACACTGTTCCCCTATCAAACAGATAGGGCTGTCAAGTGCATTATTACACTATTATATGCATAACACAAAAAACAAATGCTTACACACCATATAAGTCAATAAACCAAATGACAGGACAATTTCTTCTACGCTCAATGTAGCTCAGCATGTTTTTATCAATTCTCTTTTTTATTAGCATGGTAGAATGGAAATAGATATTAATTGATCTAGCATTGTATTATAATAATGCAGATATTAATTGATCTAGCATTGTATTATAATAATGCACAGTTTATCATTCCAATGTTTTGATATAAATCACTCAGGCCTATCAAATTGAATTCGAATCATGCATTATTCCACAGCAATGCACTCAAAATTGTTATTTATTTCCTAATTTTGTATATATTTAAAGTAGTAGTAAAGGTTTATGTTGTTATTTCTGCAGCAATGGTTGGTTATTTCTTGGCACTACATCATCTGATATAACTTGATAAGATTGTCACTCTTTCTATTGTGGTATGAACTTACATAAAGTGTTGTTTCAAACTTTTTTCTTGTTGTCATGTTCAATTGTTATTGCAGTATCTTTAACATCTTTTTTTTATTTCTTATCTTTTGTTTATCTTTTTTTCTGAAATTTTCATTTTCTACTATAGCAGCTTTCCAAGTAGTTGTTTATTTAGCATTTCTCTGTTTCAGATCTTCAGTAATCTTGCAACATTTGTCTGTTAGTTGGTTTATGTTTTTGATAGTAATTTTTAACTAAGTGCTGTCTAAGATCTCCTCTGATAACACTGGTATAAAGTCCATACAAGAATGACCCCACCAATACTGCATAATAATATGTTTCTATTTCTACTGTCTTGATGCTGTTGTTGGCATTGTTGTCCGTGAGTGTTTTGTTGTCCGTAAGTGTTTTGTTGTCCGTGAGTGTTTTGTTGTCTGTGAGTGTTTTGTTGTCTGTGAGTGTTTTGTTGTCTGTGAGTGTTTTGTTGTCCGTGAGTGTTTTGTTGTCCATGAGTGTTTTGTTGTCTTTGAGTGTTTTGTTGTGTGTAAGTGTTTTGTTGTCTTTGAGTGTTTTGTTGTGTGTAAGTGTTTTGTTGTCTTTGAGTGTTTTGTGGTCTGTAAGTATTTTGTTGACTGTTAGTGTTTTGTTGTCTGCGAGTGTTAGAGCAATTTTCACATTCATAAGAATCCAGACGGTTTCGAATGGAAGGAATTCCTTTGCCACATCTTTCACAGATAGGACCTGGATTCATTTTAGACTAGATTTTCTGAGATGCCCTTTTTACGAGACACAGCCGTAATCTAACCTAAAATATTAAATACTAGTGACTATTTGGTGATGTTCAACAGTGGGTATTGTGTATGTTACATGTACTTATAAAGAAAATTGAAAAACAAATTTACTTTGATTCTAATAATTAATTAACAATGGTGCCTCTGTCCTATATTGTTAATTTACCTTCTAAAATTAATCAGTAAAACAATATATCCTGAAGTTTAAGGCTGCATATCCTTGTTCAAAGCATGATTTTCAAAGTTTTGAGTGTTTTCATGATTGTACATTGTTACTTTCAGAAGAAAACTGTAGGTTCCTTTACAAGTACAAAACCCAGAAACACACCCTATTGGACTTCCATTGGGTGATAACTAGAGATTTCATTTACATAATACTCCAATTAATTATTACACTGCACAGCAGACCCTATCAAACTCAACAAAAAATAAATAAAAATGAACACAATTTAAAGTTTGTGGATAAGATACATTGATATTTCTGTTAAGATTATCACGTTATTCAAATAAAAGATATTTTATTGTTTTAAGATAATGAGTACATTAAAAATTAAAAAAAACAAAAACAAAAAAACAAACTTGTATGACATTTTAAATAAAGTGACTCACATTGATTTATCCTGCTAACATGGTCAAAACCCATCTATTCACTGATATATTCAGACTTGAAATATAGATTATTGATATTATAGAATGTATAAATTGAAGTAAAATCAGCTAAGCCGTTATGGTAAAATTGGTTGATTTTGCAAGTGATTTAAAATTTACGTAACTTTCTCTGCCATTGTAAAAATATAAGATAAAAGTGGTATATAAACAACAGTGTTGAGTGTAACGCTTGCATCTGCATCTTAAAGGTCAGTGCCACATTTGATGGTCAAAGGTTAAATTGTGTGTGCCTGTTATCCTCTTTGGCTAATAACTTTTGTATTCCTTGAGTGATTGTCAAGATATTTTGCAGATATTTTCAGCATTGTTACAGGGTGTCACATCAGAAATACCAAGGTCAAGGTACTACTCGGAGATAAAAATGTCATATGGTGGGATTCCCATGTCTTTTCCTATTTTTTACATTGTGAATTCCATATGTGTCTTTTATAAAATTATTCCATGCTTTTTCAAAGAAAAAAAGGGTTATAGAAATGGGTTTTGACCATTTGTTTGTCTGTTCCTCTGTCCTTTTGTCACACTTTAGTGTACGGTCCATAACTTAGCCATTCATGAAAGGACTTTGAAATAACTTGGCACAAACGTTTGTTATGATAAGATGATGTGTCATGTGCAACACCTAGTCCCCTACCTCCAAGGTCAAGGTCACACTTGGTGATTGAAGGTCAACATTTCCATTGGAGATTTTATGTTGTGTCTTATCCATAATTTTCTCATCCAAGAAGTGATTTTGAAAATACTAGGCAGAAATGTGCACAATAATGAGACAATTTGTCATGTGTAACACCCAGATGCCTACCTCAAAGGTCAAGGTCACACTTGAAGGTCAAAGCTTTACATTGTCTTACGGTATATTTTGTGCCTGGTTCATAACTTTATAATACTAGTAGATGATGAGATTTCGAAATTACTTGACAAAAATGTTCACAATAACAAGATGATGTTTCATACCCTGTAACAGACCATACCCTGTATTGATTTTGTATTTGTCACATTTTGTGGTTTTGAAATGGTGATAACAACTATACAAATGTATTATATGTATATAATGCATTGAATTCGTGACCAGGTCTTACTTAACCACAAAAGATCATTGTATGATACTGATATCCAACTTTTACATCGTCATAGTATTGGCTTGAGCAATGGTTGATGATAACGGCTCAGTTGACATTATAATTATACCAAACACATAATATCATTTTCAAATTGTAAGATGTTTTGTTTAGAAAGGCAAATGATTTTTCTTATATTTTTCAATATAAATTTTTAACACAATTTTTATTCACTGTAAATTTTATAGAGTGGTTTAAAATTTTGTAATAAGTTTGCAAAGATAACTATTACAGTACCTCTTCCAATGTGAACTTAATTAATGCTGGAAGAACCACTTTGATTAGATACATCTAAAATGTGTCTTACTTTGACATGCTGTCAATTTATCTTTATGAAAGATGTAATATAGGGATGTTGGGGTAATTGTTAAGTGCATTCAATTAAATTATCTTGTTTAATGTTTTCTCCAGAAATGTAATGAGAATCATTGTACATTTGTAATTTCTGGTTACTTTTAATGTTTTTATTCTGTACAAAGGAAGGTCTATCTTTGCATGTGTTTTACATGACAAGGTCCTGTTTTGTGCACATGCCAAAGAAAAACCACATAACAGATTTTCTTTTGTTTAAACAGGTCTATCTAAAAAATGTAGACCTGCCAGGCGGTGTGTAAATCAAGGGCATAGTTTTTATCATGGTTTGATTTACAAAATTACTTCAATTAAAATTAAGTTCACATTGGCTACAAATCTAAATGGAAGTATAATTATGTATAACAGTGTTTTTGTTAAGTATCAATGGGAAGATTTGAAGAGACATATAAAATAACTTTTATCTTGATTTCAGTGTTCTCATGTTTGTTTGTCTGTTTTGGAATGTTACCAAATAATGTTTTGTTATATTCTTAATTGATGATTTGATTATTTTGACTTTAAGAAGGGCATGACTGTTGAATGGGGAAAAACTTACATTATATAATTTGGTTATTGATTACACTTGTGAAATAACAGATACTTTATAGTGATTTAAAATGAATGTTCAGAGTGCAGTTCATTTTAATAAAATAAAAGTGTTGTGATAATAATTTGTTAACACAAAAACATTGCCCTGTGTGTTACTTAATTTACATAAACATATAAGGAAAACAAAAATTAATTTTCATGTATAAACCTGCATTGTACAGAGACAAAATTTATTTTTGCATCTATTATCAACATGTCTTAAAAAGTTACATAAATCATGCCCCTGGAATCAAAATTGGCCTCTTTCTGAGGGGGTCACTCACTTAAATAACTTGTAAAGGATAAACGGAATGAAATTTTCTTTTCTGACTGGACATGTACTAGAGCTTAGATATTTGGTATGTTTAATATTATTGTCTGGTGGACTGCTAAAAATGATATATAAATCATGGCCCTGGGGTTACAAATGTCCCTACCCTTGGGTCACTCTGATCACATGGACTTGTAGAGAAAACAGATTTTAAAAATTCTTTTTGTCATAAACTGCAATGCATAGGGCTTAGATATTTGGCATGTAGCATCACCCTGTGGTCCTCTACAAAAATCTGTACTTTAGGATGAAAACAAATTACCTCTCCCCATGGTCATTTAGTTTATACATAGAGTTATAGAAAAACACAATCATCTAGATGTTAATGTTTTTTCTGACACAATATGCCGAAGTGCTTATACATTTGTCAGGCAGCACGGAAATGCAGGTTGGCCTGACCTACAATACAGGTGGCAAAAGGCTAATCACTTTCGGTTACACAAGGCTTAGAGTAAAGATAAAGGTATCCTATTGTTTTCATTGGATAATAAAAATTATACTATAAACATATTTACATCCTTTTCTGTATGTTCGTAACTATGAACTTAAAATTATTTTTAACTTAACATATTTTCAGGTCATGCATTAAAACCAGAATCAAAGTCAATGTTCACCAATTTTATCGATGGATTAAAGAAGTTCTACATTACCAGAATTAAAGGATTTGATCCCACTAGTTTAGCTGTAGCAACTCTTCTTTTTGAAGGAGCTAAAAAGGTATTTTATGTCTCCAATTTCCAAGTTCTTTTCACATTGTATGTTAAAAGCTTCAGAAGTGGTGTTTTTTTATGGTTCTAAAGCAGCATGCCTCCAGGTGAGTAGAATGAAGAATTAAACTTAAGAAACATGCAGCAAGGCTTTAAAACTATTTAAATATTTGAATATTTACAATGAATGCAAAATATGACTGAATGTTATGACCTATAATCATATCTAACCATTACTAATATAGTAAAGGCTATATTTGAATATTATATCTATATGGATTTTCAGTGACTTATTATAGCTTGAATTACGTAATTTGTTCATTGTATAAAAGTTTGTGGATTTTTTAACACTTTATAAAGTTCTATAAAAATTAGCTTGAATCTGGAAGCATGCTGCTTTAATCTGTGCCACCTTAAACATCATAACTGGACTTGTCCATCTTACCATCTTGACAAAACCAGTCATCTTTTTTTTTATGGGCAATTTCAAAAAGTTTACTGACTGAATAGCAAACAGTGCAGACCATGACCAGACAGCATGGATGTGCCCACTAGTCTTGGTCTGCACTTGTTGCATTGGTAGATTCAGAATCTGCTAGCAGGCTAAGAGTGATAGGTTTTTGCATTATGATTATTTATTAAATTTTAGTAGTTTTAAGTTTAAGCTTGATTGAGAAAAAAGTTCTTGCAATTAAGTTAATCATGTTGGATTCTGCTACCTGGAACTAAGCAGTACTGGTATCATATGAAGAATATGGTCATGGCAAAAGTAGAGCTTGAACCCATGATCTCTGAGTTGAGAGGCAGACACCTTAACCACTAGGCCACCACACCAATTTATTTATTTTAGTTTGTTATTTAGTATTTAAATTCATGGATTTTGAAATGTACATGATAACTAGAATATCTTTGATGTAGATGTTGCTTCTAATGGTTATAAATGACTATGTAACATATTTTTTCCTTTGAACATTAGACTTTACATATGATTATTTTACTTTGACAGGATGTTGATGCTCAAGAGAAAAGAGTCTACGAAATAGCTGCACAATTTGGGTAATTATTTATTTTTGACAATACAGCTTGATAGAAACAGTAATGAATTTTCTGTAAACTATGGATTTATATTGCATCATTTATAGGCAAATTCGCTGTTTGATGCATATTGCCTAGCCTCAGAGGCACTTTTATTTCTTATTGCTCCAGGCATCCATGTTTGCTTCATTTCTTTAAGCATCATGCCTCCAGATTTATGCTGATTGTCATGAAATTTGGAAACGTATTAAAAAGTAAAATACTGTGATATAAACAAAGAAAGTAATTTAAATATTGAAAACAATACAGTCCAGGTAAATTACCAAATAAATGTCAAAATATGCAAAAATAGTCCTTACAGCATAGTAATGTGGTAGATACCATGGCCGAGTGACTAAGGTCGTTGACTTCAAACCACTTGCCCCTCACTGCTGTGGATTCTAATCCCAACAGGGACTTTGGATTCTTTCATGTTAGGAAGCTATCCAGCTAGCTTACGGAACATCAGTGATTCTACTAAGGTGCCTGTTCGTGCCTGTAATAATGCATGGAAGGGCACCTGAGGTCTTCCTCCTTCAGTAAAGCTGGAAAGTTGCCATATGACCTATACTGTGTTATTGTGACGTAAAACCCAATCAAACAAACTTGAATCTTTTTGCTTTACTTAAAATTTTACTTTTCTTAAAATCTCTGAACATTTTTCTCCAGTTTGATTTTCTTAAAATATGTTGGCTCATCTGGAGGCAAGCAGCTTTAAGATGATACAACAATGAATATCATAAAAGACCTAGTATCAAAGGGTTACATGTTCTATGTTTTCAGTGGTTTGGCAGCTGGAGCAGAGAATGGAGAGAGAGGTTACATGCTGACCTTTGCTATAGCTTATATTAGAGACCTCGGATTTGAGTATTATATTGTAGCCGAATCATTCGAAACTTCAGTGCCTTGGGATAGGTATGCTCACATATTTCTTACAGATAAATGTTCATATATTGTGAATAATGTGAAATATATTTTCATTTTAGTCTACAGTAGAGTGCTTCAGATATTAAATTTCTTTAAAAAATTCTGTACATGTACATGTATATTTGTTGACAAGAAATTAACTGGAATTTTATGCCCGCAGAAAGTTGTACTGAATTGAATATTTAGGGGGAAAATGTGAAAAAGAACTTTTTGCAGTGTATTGTACTAATGTATACTGTAAGTGTTAAGTTGGCAGTACTTAACACTTTAAAACAAGAAGGAAAACAACAATTTATGGTGCAATAAAATGTTAACAGCTGTATTGTTTTAAGACTTTTCTGTTGTATGGCACAAAAAAAAACAACAAAATATTTTTCTGTTTTACTTTAAAATCTACAGATTTAAAATATTTTGGACAAAAGCTTCGTTGCTTAGTGGAATGACTAAAATAGGTTTATTTTGACCAATGTTAACACTGGTCATATGGAAATATGCCATTTCCATGAAATAAGTGATGATGCAAAATTTATGATGTTGACTGAAAAATGAAACAAATTTGTATATATATGTATATATTTTCTTGCTGTTTTACAGATGTTTAGACCTGTGTACCAATGTCAAGGATAGATTACATAGAGAGTGTAAAGAGCGAGGTATACAGTTCCCGCCCTACATCACTTGTAGGTAGGTCATTTTTGAATTATGTTATATTTTAGTTAACTCTGAATTCTAGCAATAATAAAGGCTTGCTTATTGCCAGTCTGTACATTCTTGCAAACTAACCAAAATCTTAACTGTTTGAGGCAGAAAATCTCTTTGAATACCTATAAACTTGAAGAAGGGCATGTCCATTAAAGAGTTAATTTAAGAGTGTAACAGTTAGATATTGTTTATTTTCTGTTTTATGATATCATTATTACATTTTATTTAAATTTGCCATTTTGTTTGTTTCCAGGGTAACCCAGTGTTACGATGCAGGTGCTTGCGTATATTTCTATTTTGGGTTTAACTACAGAGGTATACAGAATCCAGTACAGATGTATGAAGATATTGAGGTAAGTAATCTGGTTATCTTAACTAGTCTAATTTATGTAATGGATTTACCCAGCTTTTAAGATTGGAGCAGTCCATTCAAAATTTAAAGGGATGTGAATATACAATAATTGAGTAGCTTGGTTGGACTGCATGGATGTGCAGGCAGATTTATGAAGGAAATGAGGTAAATAACTTGAGCATCATAACTTAACTGACTGAATTTATGTAATGGATTTACCCAGCTTTGAATTTTGAAGCAGTTCAAAATTTAAGGGATTTGAATATCAATGACAATATATAATATTTGAGTAGCATGGTCAGACTGCATTAGATGTGCTGGCTGGCTGGCTCTTAAATACTGGTGGGAAAGGTAATTGATTACATTCTATCCAGCAGGTTAAGATAAATCTCAACCCAAAAATTGTGGGTTCAAATCCAAAATGGGTCACAGCCATGTTTCCTCAAATAAAACCAGTACTAGTTAGTTATAGGAAGAGTTTAAAGTATAGAGTTTAAAACAATATAACCTGAGCTGGTATGAGCTGTTAAAAAAATATGAACCAACAAATAAAGTTAGCCATTGTTGATGATAAAGTTTGCTTTACTAATATTGTTTTATTTGTAGGCATGTGCTAGAGATGAAATCCTTGCTAATGGTGGAAGTATTTCACATCATCATGGAGGTATAGTCCTTGTTTCTCTTTGACCTACTTTCAAGTCATTATTTTAGCTAACATGAGCATATTGTGATTGGCCTTTGTCAATTGTTTGTTATCGGCATTTTATTTACACAACAAAGACACCATTTTAACAAGGACCACAGTTGAAATAATACAGGAATGATCATTGATGATTTTGATAAAAATAGTTTGAAAAATAGATTGGAAAATTAAGTTGTTCTTTTGAACAAAATGGTTACCTGAGCTAAAATTAGAAAGCCTTTACTAAAGCAACAGGTCAGAGTGGCTAAGCATGCAGTTTTAAAACTTTTGCAAAAGTTCATAATGGTTTACTTTACTGACTCCATTGTTGGTTTCTATCTTTAGTCAGGAGAATAATAGATTGTTGTTTTTATATTAAATCAATGAATACATTTTACATTTGATTCTGTATATCTAAAATATGGTTATCTTTTATATAATTTTTAGTTGGTAAACTCCGTAAGAGGTGGCTAAAGAAGACTGTCGGTGAAGTTGGTCTGGGAGCCATGCGAGCTATCAAGGAATATGTTGACCCACAGAATATCTTCGGCTGTAAGAACCTGATGGTAGGGGAACCAGAAGAAGCTCACAGTAGCCAGGAACCAGTAAAAGATGTTTTAGTCAGCAAATTATGAGGTGTTGCATGACGGGAGATAATTATGTGATAATCATTAAGATGTTCTGCTTATGCTGATGTTTTTATGGTTTTTTTTTAATATATTTTTTTGTAACTTATGCATTGAGATGCAGGACATACATAGAGTATTTACACCACTTATGTGATGTCAGAAACAAAAATAACTATATATAATAATAATAAAACTGATTTTCAAATCAATATTTTAAACTTTTTTGGGGGGATAAAGATATTTAAAAAACAAAATATGAATTACAGTGAATTAACTGTATATAAAACGGTCACCACTTTTGACATTGAAATTAAAAACGACTCTTTTTTTATATGTTTCATCAAATTCCATTTGGAGACTCTAGAAATTCAGTATTTTATTAAAAAGACATGGACTCTGTTTTGAACATTCATTACTGATTATTTATTACAAATCATTATCATATTCATTAAGGATAGTATAGAAGTGGTGCTGAGGATTCATCACAAATAATCATTTTAGCATAATAGATTTTATATTATACCAGTGTGAGAGATGATTATGTTGCTAATGCCTACAGTTTATTGTTGGTACCAGTCTGCATGTCTGTGTACAGTCTGGCCAGGGTATATATACTGTTGGCTACCTTGCTCATTGTTTGAGTTTTAATAATGAAATCCCATAAAATAACAATGGACAAGTCCAAATATAATCCAGGGTGAGTTCATTATACAAATTTAGGGGTGTATGGGTTAATGTTTGAATGTGAAATTACTTGCGTCTGCTTAACAATGGACATTTCCAAATTGAAACCAGGGTGAGTTCATTATACCAATTTAGGTGTGTATGGGTTTTTGGGCTGAAGGTAGAAACAACTATTTTACCCTGAGTGTAAAATATACTATGGAAATTTACTTTGTCACATTTTTCTTTTGCATTAGTCAAATGCTGTTAAAAAAAATAATTCAGTGCAACCTTTACAGACCAACTCCCTTTGGGATGACAACTATTTGGTTGTCGTAGAGAGGGGTTGCTCTATAGAGGTTAAATTTAAGTGTTAAGTCTACCTTTATTAGGAAATGTTGTAGAGAGGTGCTTGTTCTGCAGAGGTTACACTGCATTACTGATGCTTGACTTTCACTGATGTATGACCAAGGACAGAATGTTAAAGTATATTTATTCATTAGATTATATGTTATTTTTATTTCATATTCATATCTTGTATTCAAAAATATGTCATTTATTCATTCTTGTTGATATTTTTATGTTGAGTGAGCAATTTCCATTGAAAATCAAAGCATTCCTATTATTTCAGTATTTAATTATGTAAAATTCTGATTTATTCATGTTTTTTTGGGGCATTGTGTAGTATGTTTTTGAGCCAGGGTTTTTCTTTAGGAGATCACTTTTATTATACTTTATCACATCAAACAATGGCAGAATATTTTTAATTAAGAGAGATGTATTAATTAATTTCAAAACTTTCATTTTAAGCTTGTATTTTCCTTTTTAAATACAAGGCAAATTATGTTTGTACAATTAATTATATTTATAAAAAAATCCATTCTCAAAATTTTTTTATTTTTAAGACCTTTACAACTGTACGTTTTGTGTTCAATCACCAAAATTTGAATATTATTTTATAAACGGAAATATTTTTCCTATAAGTAACAGAAGAATCCAAAAACTTACACTGTAATTGTGCAACCTACTGGGATAGACCTTGATATCTGTATCTTTATTGTTAATATACTATAAGTACTGAATAAGACTACTATATAATATACTCCTTGTCTAATCCGGGATATAGCAAATGGTAATGGAATGGCTGACATGTGCCTAGCGGATGCTTACATGGAAATTTTTTATGACATGGAAAGGGTTTACTGTGTTGGACTTTACATGATTGATAAGTGGTGTTAGGTGTTAGCTGTTAAATATCTATTGATCAAATATGGAGAGCTTAGTTGAACAAAGTTTTATGGTGTAGGTGATAATGTGAATGATATACTAGTACCTGTGCTGTCATGACAGAGTCAGGTCTTACTTATCTCTCAGTTTGAATTTTTGATACTGAAACCATTTTAATTAACAGTAAATCACAACCATGTTTCTTCATATGACACCAGTACTGGTTGGTTCCAGGAAGCAGGCTTGAAAGTGATCAAGTTGCAAGAATTTGTTTCACAATTGATCTTAAATAAATATGTTTGTACTAAACTACCAGAACAACATGAAATCATCTGTTTAAACAGTGGAGCAGTTACACATTGAAATCTAAAGTAATGGTGAAAAGAATAAAAGTCCTCAAGTCTGGTATTTTATACCTGCCTGTGCCCCTCAGGTGCCTACCTGTGCTGCAGGGAGGGACTTCCCTCCACCCATTTAGCAGCCCTCAGATGCTTACTTGTGTCTGGAATAATGCATGGAGGGTCTCTGGAGTTTTCCCTCATGTAAAGTAGGAAAGTCAAACTATGACCTTCACTTTGTCAGTGTGATATAACACGTGCCACCCCCATTCCCCCCCCCCCTCCACTCCCCTACTCCCTGCCAAAAAGCAAGAGTCCTTGACATATAACTATCACAAGTTTAATCAATTGGTTGTGAAATAATTGAACAAATGATTTATTTATGATTATTATGAAATGATTTGATTATATAATTATTACAGAATGTTTTTTTGGCATTAGTTCCATGCTGTGTTTGTCCATTAATGAATGACTGTTAATTATATTATAATTATATACATGTACCAGTTTCTAGCTTTACCATTTCATATATGATAGATTATGCAAAAAAATTTATGTTTCTATTTATAATTATCAAATGATTTTTCTACTCTGTAATCAATAAATTGTATTCTAAAGATAATCTTGTTTTCCTGTTTTATATATTTGACTGTTTGAATGTTGAAATCTGTTTTACCCAGCTGATAAGCTTCACCTCGAGTTGTAACGAAAAAGAATTCAGATACTTATTGGCCACCATAATTCCTATCTACATTGTACTTTCATTTTGCTTCTTTCTTGATTAGTTTTGAACATATACATGGGGTCTGTCATTACTTCTCAGCAAATTGGTAAGGTCCAGTCATATCAAAAATACCTGGGTAGAGTCCCTTTCTGATTAAACTTGTATATGCTTGTTCATTTAATTCACACATTTAATTATACATTTATACCATTAGAACACTGTAGCAGCAGCTTTCACTATCCCCCGCCGATGGAATCGGGAGGGGGGATATTGTTTTGGCATTGTCCATCCGAATTTTGTTTCCGCTCTAGTACTCTGCAACTACTGGCTGGAATTTAAGGAAACTTTATGGGAATCATCAATATCAAGAGGAGATGCGCATATCGTCGGCTTGTTCCAATCAGACCCTTTAACTCTGAGTTATGGCCCTTGATTAGTTATTCAGTATTCATATAGAGCAATAATCGTTTTTCGCGCTACATCGCTGCAACTACTAGCTAGAATTCAACAAAACTTTATGGAAACCTTCAATACTAAGAGAAGATATGCATGTTGTTGCCTTGTTCCGGTCAGACCATTTAACTCAGAGTTATGGCCCTTGATTAGTTTTTCAGTATGCATATAGAGCAATTTTGCAATTTCTTTTCAACTTTTGGATTAATTTCAACAAGACTTTATGGGAATCATCAATACGGAAAAGAAATTTGCATGCCTTGATAAATTTACATAAATACAGCCTTATGTCTCCAGTTGTGTTAGTAATAACCACTACTAGGCGAGGGATATAAATTTGCTTGCTATTCATTGTTCTCACAGTGGAAATGAACATTTTTAATATTTCATAAAAAAAAAGATTACTGTAAAAGAAGTTTTATACCCCAACTATTCGCGCTCAACAGTCTTAGAAATAAACAACATTGTATATACAGAGGTCAATGCCAAGGAAGTTACAAGTTGCATTTTTATATTACAGTTCAAAGAATAGCCACGTCAGGGTTCTAACCCTCACCCCTTAAATACATGGTGGGCATAGAACCACAAGACTATAATTTGTGTATAGCCAAAGGATACTGTGAAATTACAATTTTTTCAATAAAATGGAAAATAAAACATTCAGTTTAAAATAAAGTACGAAAGATTCTTTCAACTTCCACCAATCTTAACTTCCACGAACCACACTGGTTACAAACCCAGGAAGCAATCATTTGGCATGACTTAAAAGCACATGTACAGGACCCCTAATTTTTCAGTGGAACAGCAGCAGGATGGACGGACAAGGCCAAAGTTACAGCCATTTTGTTATCAGAGGGATCAGAAATAGTGAAAGTCTATAATTGGGTTTTTGTATTTTATTAACTATATAACAATAACAATGGTTCTACGACAGAAACCAATACTTGTACATTATTTCTATCAAATATTTATATACCATTCTACTTTCAACTTATAGTATAGTATAATGGAGTGAGAAAAATATAATGTTTCTAAAAGGAAAACAATAGAAAAATGAGAAAAAAAAAATAAACTAAAAAAATTATTTTCCACATTTAACAATAAATGATTTCTGCCAGTTTTATGGAATTAAAGTTATATACCAATGGGAAATAGTATGTGGAACAGAAGATTTATTTGAAGTTTTGCATTGAAATGACGAAAATATAAAAGAATAATCATGTGGTCTGATAATTTTCTGCACTATTTACTATTAAGCCTTTGAGATTTTTCCTAAAAATAAAAATAATGGTCTTGTCCAGACTGAAAGATGGACAAGTCCTTTAGGGTATTTAGCATGGTAAGTATTAAATTTGAAAACATTTTAACAAATTCTGCAATAACCATGTTAGTATGAAAAAATCAACAATTTTATTACTAAAAACAATTTTTTCCTTCTATATAAATGAAGGTAGCGTAGAATATTATCATAGCATATTATCAACAATCAGTTTATCAAATTATGCACCAGTCAATTGTAATATCTGCCCTCCACCCTCAAATTGTAACATCTGCCCTCCACCCTCCAATTGAAATGACTGCCCTCCACCCTTCCATTGTAACATCTGCCCTCCACCTTTCAATTGTAACGTTTGCCCTCCACCCTTCAAATGAAAGGACTGCTCTCAACCCTCCAATTGCATTATCTGCTCTCAACCCTCCAATTGCATTATCTGCCCTCCACCCTCCAATTGAAATGAGTGCACCCCACCCTTCAATTGTAACAGCTGCCCTCCACCCTCCAATTGTAATATTTGCCACCCACCCTCCAATCTTCCCTACACCCTAATTAAATCATGCATTGACTTTAAAATAATCAAACCCAAAGGAAAAGGCCCCAATCTGCAAGTACAACAGATAATATCTAAGCTAAATGTCCCCACAAAATTAGAGATATCATTGGCTAATTTGGCACAAAAACAAGACATTAACCAAGCAGAGTTGGGACTGACAGAAAGTAAAAACTTGGCTTGTTTTCTGGACTGCCCTTTGTTAGCTAGGGAGGGTGGAGTCTGGAATTACACACATTACCTGACTGGTGCATTACTACTATATATGAAACTTATATATCGTCATCTTAGTGCAATAATGGGTTAATACCTATTAAATTATATAAGTGATTAACCCGTTCTTGCAATAAGGTGAATTTTGATAATAATAAACCAAGAAAAAAAACTAAAAACACTCAGTTAACATATTATAATTGAAAAAGAACTGATATGGTAAATCATTCAACTTTTCAAAAAATTATAAAAATGATATTCAATTGCACATTATGAGAGAAAGAGATGTGTTAAATGTAAGTTTACTGATTTTCTACAAGAAATAAACTACAACAGAACAAATAGGAAAAAAATTACAACAATATAAAGACAATGAAGAACATGTATATATACATGATTCTGATGCTGAAAATATATAACAAGGAAAGTTATCAGGGACCTTTAGAGTAAAGTGTAGAATGAAAGTTACTCATATTAAAAATTAGTGAATTCTTCAAAATTTACAATATTTTCACTTCTAAAAGAATTTAATATTCAAAATATTAGCTCAGACACTGCAATGCTGCAAAGTCAAAATTCGATATGCCATGAAAAAAAGATTTGCACAAAATATGAAATTGAATCTTAGCTTTTTTACAGAAGCGAAAAAACATAAATATTTATTTCGTTTGTAAATGTAAAATAATCGACATTCATTAGTCATTTTCAAATTAGGAAATCTATATATGATAATTATATAACAAAGAATTAATACCAATTTTCTTATTATTTCTGTAATTTACAAAATGTTTGTTTGTTTTGTAGTAAGAACAAGCCTATTAAACCTTTTTCAAAGCTGAAAAAAAAATGTTGCAAACTTAAACAGCTTAATATCTTCTCTTTCTAAAACTATTACAAAATTATTATTCAGTACCATAAATCTAAGATATGTATATTTCTAACATATTTGAAACAAAAAGTATAGCATGCAGAAGAGAAAATTTCAGTAATTTCAGTAAAAACTAACAAATTCACTAGTAATAAATGTATTGTATATGCTTTGTCCCTACCATTAGTAAGGTTTCACATTATGTGAATATTTTCCATTTACTGTCGTTCTTTAACACAAGTTCTCAAGTTTTATTGCCATACAGATCTCTTAAAGAATATTGGAATCTTTATGATAAAATATACCTTGTAAGATTTCATTTTTTACTTGTCCTTGACCATTTGACCTTTGAGTGATTGTCGCCTTAGCAACCAGTATAAGGTCAAACCAGCCTCCATATCTACGCAATCTGATATGACTCTGTACTATTGGATTGCTGAATTTGTGACACTTAAGACTAATATAATATTTCAAAATTCAATTCCCTACAAGTGATAATGGACAGTTCCAACTCAAGATCCGGGCTAGTCCATTATATACAGTCTCAGGAAGGGGTCTAATATATATAAAAATCTAGTGGATATAATAAATACGAAAGAATGAGGTGAAAACAATCATGAAAGACAGAATTATTACAGATCATTTCTTCTGAAAATTAATACAGATTAAAAATATATAGAATATGTACGAAATATGAGAGGGGGAGGGAGAGAAAAAAAATATTGCAAGTTCAAAAAATGGTCCAGCCATTAGTTATACAAAAAGCAGGTATCATTTACAACTATAATGAAAAAAAGGGCAAGTTCATAAAAACAGCAGATTTATTATTTTTCATATTTATAAATACACCATATTTCACTCCCTCTAGGATTGATTATATATATGGATGCATGGTTAAACATTTTTAAGAATGATAAAAAAAATCATGGCTATAACATTTGAATAAAGCATGCTAGAAAACTACTTATCATAATAATAATAATGATTACAATTAATCAAAATATTAAAGAGCGCAATAAAAATCACAAATGCACTTTTAAGCTACTATAACATTATTATTGTTTATCATGATAAATATACAAGTCAATAATTAGAAGATACGCACCCTAATGCCTGAATGGTATAAGCCTTTTTTTGTTTTCAAGTGAAGAAAACAAATTGTAGTATTGAAAATTGTCTAAAAATCATCAACTTGTCACATAATTCTTATTCTACATACGATACTATATACAATACCTTTGCTTTTTGTACATTAAACAAGATTTGTTCATTTAATTTTCAATCCATACAACTGTTTTCCCACCCTGTTTATTTTCTAGCAATACACATCTTGGCATTGACCATAAATTTTCGTTTCACATACATTTTCAAGAAATATTCACTTATTACATATTCACATATTTTTAATTCAATTATTTCAACAAAGGCATCATACAGATTGTTTCTTTTACATATTATTATATATAATATATTGCACATATTTATATTTCACCGTGCCCTGACAAAACCAAAATAATGTGTTTGCAACCAGCATTATTCCAGACCAGCCTGCGCATCCTCGCAGTCTGATCAGGATCCATGCTGTTTGTTATCAGCTTCTCTACTTGTTATAGGGTTTGCAAGAGAACAGCATGGATCCTGATCAGACTGCGCGTGCTGGTCTAGATCTATGCTGGTCGCAAACGCATTATGTTGGTTTTGTCATGGCGCAGCTCATTATTATATTTCGACACATGGTGTCGACAAATTGATTAAACACAATGAATTACCTCAAGTAAAACACTGGACAATAAAGGAACACACTCAGACCATATATAACTGTATCACAAACAATTGTTTTTTGATCCATTTTTATATAATTTTGGCACAAAATATAACATAAAGAAAGACAATAAATTAAACAATTACACAAAATAATAACCTGTTAAGTTTATGCACACTATTATTACAAAGTTTTTTTTTTCCATATCTATATAATATATATATATATGCAAAACCTAATCATAACATCTAAACTAAAGAATAAATATATATACATATTAATAACTGTATGCATTGATAATTATTATTAAAATTTCTGTCACATTTCTATTATCGCAATTTATACATTTATAATCGTTATATTATAAGATTTTCCATTACATTATTATAGATCGTTATATAATAAGATTTTCCATCACATTATTATAGATAGTATTATCATTAAAGACCTTGAATGAGGCTTTTGACATGACAGGACTGGAAATATTTTTCAGAGATTTGTCTACCATGCCCTGTAACTTGTGTACGAAGTTTCTGATCATTCCCTTGTTCCACATTTTCCAGAGTATTAATTTACATTGTGCAAAATGACCAAAAAAGGAAGTGTTTTTCTAAGAATCGCACACAAAAAAGATTTGCAATGTAATTTTGAGTATATACTTGTTAAATTTTGCACATTTTTTTCCATTTTAAATGCTTCACTTGATTTATGTAACAATTTCAAACACTAAATTTCCTATTTTATAATATAATTCTCTAAGGAGGGAAGCAGTACTTAAACCGCCCCTGCCTTAAAAAAAAATCTCAACAGTGTGTCAAGACACTAAATCAAATTTAAAAAAAAGAAAGAACTGACAATTTAACTAAATGAATTGACTGGTCAGAGATCTTGATTTCAATTATAAAATCACTGCAATTTTCTTCATAAATTTATAATTACTTTTTTTATTAGAAAAAACAGGCTCGAATCTTAACACTGAGATTGTAAAAACAAGTTGTACCTTATTGATGTACATCAAATCTCCCTAATATATAATTTATATATTTAAGTAATTTTTTAGTTTGGTTAGTCAAATTTTATTGCTGACTGATTCACTTAGTACATTGATATGTTTTACATTTTAATCATATATTTTTCAAATTCCTTTCTCCACACAGAAAATTTAATCATGTAGTAATAACATACTCTCATTGTGAAGTGCTGTGCTGTGCACTTTACAGGTGGCTTGAATAATTAAAGTGAAAGCTTAAAAAGTACTTACAATTTAATAAAAAAAAAATCATCAAAATTCATCACTAAAAGGGTAAAGAGCAGACTTCAAATGATACTTTCTTGAATTTAAGCTGTGTTTTTCAAACATCCATTTGTTTCATCCTAAATAAGATATTGCATTTTTTATTTTTATCTTTTGTTTACTTCCGTTTTTCCATTAAATTTCAATCTGCTGAATTTGTGTCACTGATTCACCTGTGTTTTAAATTGAAACAGTCCATTTAAAATTTAATAGTAGATACTTGGGACAAGTTCATTAAAATTTAATAGATTTCACCATCATAATACAAAAACTGAGTAACCAACCAGAACACAGTAGTCTGTGTTCTTGTTGACCTGGCTCTAGATTGGTGGCAAAGGCTAATCTCATTTTCTGGTTCTAGCAGGTTAAGGGTTTATTACTGACAGGATAAAAAAAATGAATGAGTCAAAATCAAGAAAACATCATTTGGTCAAAGGGTACCTAAAAATAATTCCTATTTGTTGATTAAAGAAAAATCCAGAATTGTTCCTAGAGTGGACCTAAGGAGTTACTTTTTTTATTGAAATCTATACTGTTTCCAATGTAAAATAAGATGTCTCCTCAGATCCCCCAGACAAAAGCAAAACTTTAACAATAACATTAACGTAAGTACTGATAAAAGTTTTGAATTCTTTTTTTTTGTGTGTTTATAAATTTATATATATATGAATTATGTTTACCCCTTCACAACATAACTGACAATATCTAAAGGCACACTAACTAATTAATGCTTTTATTATCTTATAAATTTTTCGTTGCTGAATGAACTGTGAAGCAAAGTGGAAACAAAATTGAATTGAAAAAAAAAAAAAACTGTGAAGATAGGTATTGTAAAATCTGCATTCTGATCAAGATGCAGGTTACACTAGTATAATATATAATGAAGCAAAAAAGCTCGTAAAAATACCGCATTAGGAATACGGATAAAAAATGTTGGTTTAAGTTGGTAATACATTTTTCAAAAAAAATAATTTTCACATGGAAAAAGAACTGTTAAAAAAATAATGTCTGGCTCAAAATCTATCAAATAATTATCTGAGTTAGGGAAATTTTAATGTCAATTTCATGTAACTGTAAAACCAACTTCTTTCTTCCATATAGCCTAATTTATAGCTTCACATTTGTGCATGAAATATTTCTTAAAATGTATCAACTAATAATGCTTGACTGGTTATTGATTTAGGCCAATTTTATGTTCAAGATTCTTTAAAATAAGTCAAATTTAAATGTTTAGGTTGGTTTTTTGCTGTAGTTTTTTTTAGCTTTAAGCTATACAACAAATCCAACTTACTTTACTTACAGAAGTAAATAGGAAAATTTTGTTGTAGAAAAAGATAAATTTGTGTATTGTTTACTAAATAGAATATTTCTAATTTCAAAGTAGCACATAAACTAAACACCCTGTATTGAAATCCGGAAAAAAATAATACATTTAAATTATCTCACCCGTGCCAAATAGCACCAAACTTTACATTTTGTTACTACTTTCAAAGTAACAGAAGTACATCAACAATGTCACCAAACTTCCAGCCTCATTCTGATTTCATATCTACTGATGTCATCATCTCTGTCTGTGGACAGCCAATCAGCTGCAGTGTTGCTCCAGTGCTTGCTAGAGTGATCTGCCCCTGTTTTGTTGTTGTCACGGTGACAGGTACCAGATTGAGGCTGGTCTGTGTTAAAGTACCAGTGGCAAGAGCTGACTGAGCAACAGAAGGTGGGACGGAGAAAATGGCATTAGTCATGAGAGGGGAAGAGGATACCTGAAATAAAATACAACATTTTACATATATAGGTCAATACATGCAAGGTCAAGGTCACTAAAGATGATGAAATATCCAGATTTAGTCTGTAGAGTATCTCCTATATGCATAGAAGAATTTTTATAATACTTTATAAAAAAAGTTCACCACCATGAGACGTATTGCTCCACATACATGATTAGTGAATACTTTAGATTGCTGCAATAAACAAGTTTTGTTTATTTCATAAAATTGATTAAAATTGTCTCTTCACTTTTGTGACTGCTTGATTTAACAAGACCTGTCTGCCGACAGCACATTAAATCATACATATTAAGCCTCAGAAATGTATACAAGTTTATTTTTCCTGTAAAAAGAGGCAAACAATATTCCTACTATTTTTATAATGGACTTACATTTTGTAAGAAACGTATCACCTGAAATAGCCCAAAATATGTAATTATTTATGAGAAAGTTAGCAAAATGTAAACAAAATGGTATTTTGACTTCCATATAAAATATTAAATCAGTATAACTGAATTTATTTGCAGTAATGCAAAAGAAGCAAAAGATTGTTCAGCCATATGAGCAATAAAGTACCTTTTGCCGGCTTAAAAGGACACCAAACAGTAAGAATTCATGAAAAATAACAATTTTCTAGGCTGAATGGGCCTTTTAGAAATCACAAACCACCACATTTGAGGGTAAACTGCCTCAAATAAATTCAATATTATGTAACATATTTACATATTAAACATGTGACAAAGGAAAGCTAAAATCATTGAAAACTGATATAACATACCTGCTGAGAACTGGGCGTCACTGTAGTGGAGAGAGTGACAGGTGTCGTCTGCTTGAGCAAATCTGTTGTCGAGTGTTTCACTATCATGTGTGCACGAAGTTTCTGGGCTGTTCTGTAACTCTTGCCACACTTACACTTGAATGCCTTCTTCACCCTGCAGAATAAGCTACAAGAAAAAGAGGAAAAAAAATTATATGTATGTTCATTCTTGAAAATACTCACTGTATCCGATTTCACTAGATCTTGTAGATCATATTTCAATATGCTAGCTTTTAAGCATTGTTAGAATAATAAATCATAATTTTATCCAAATAAAAAAAGAAAGAAAATGAAACATGTCTGGAATTGTTAATGGATATAAAAACTTAATTTACAACAATTCCCAATAAAAAGATTTAAGACTTTTCTCAGAAAAAGGAATTTGTCTGAAAGCCTATATATATTTTGACATAAATGGGGCCTCTATGGCCAAAATGGTTATGGTTGCTTACTTTCAAGTAAAAATTAACCTTCTCTACTGTTGGTTCAAATCAAGCAAGGGACTGATTAGTGGTTCTACTTAGGTACACTCTCATGCCTTTAGTATAGGCATGAAGAGGCTCCAAAGTTCTTCCTACACCATTAAAACTGAAAGGCTGCCACATCACCTTTACAGTGCTATTAAATGTGCCTTAAAACCCAACAAACATTAATATAACGATATAAATATCTCACCTGGAATCTTTTCTATGCCCATGTCTAGCATGGTACTTCATTCCATTGACATTCTTGTATCGTTTTTTACAGCCAGGTACCGGACAAGCAAATGGTTTGTCCACGTCTCCATCCTTCAAATTCTGCATCATACTGCAAACAAATTATCATTGTTAAATTCCTTTATTGTAAGCAGTGATAATGTTTGTAAGTGTATACATTCAGTATGTATCCAGGACAATATATACATACATGTACTTGTGACGGACGCTGTATTGTAGGTAGCTCAATTTTTTAAATTTTGTCATTCCTTAAAATTATTATGGTACATAATAAATAAGTTCCATATTTAAAGACTCCACTGAGGTCAAAAAAATTAATGAGTGAATTTGAATTACATTATTTTAATCATTTTATGTAATTCAAAGCTTGTATCATAGTGTGTTTTAAAAATGAATAAATTAATATTAAATAAAAAACAGGATTCCTCTTTCTCCTGAATCACTTTAAATTATTTGAGCCGCGTCATGACAAAACCAACATAATGGGTTTGCGACCAGCATGGATCCAGACCAGCCTGCGCATTCGCGCAGTCTGATCAGGATCCATGCTGTTCACGTACCAACTCTATTACATGTGAAGAAACTGATAGCGAACAGCATGGATCCTGATCAGACTGCGCGGATGCTCAGGCTGGTCTGGATCCATGCTGGTCGCAAACCCACTATGTTGGTTTTGTCATGACGCGGCTCATTTTTACTTGAAGTCATAAAATTTCTTTAGCATTCAAATAAAACCATCACCCTTTCAAACAAATAAAAAATTGCATCTCATCCTCGGAAAATTAATAACAACATCAACTTAAAACAAAGTATTTGAAAAGGGAATAAAAAAATAATAGTTTCAATTATTTAATGATACAATTCTTGTTCCATATGATTCACATAAAGGCAGGGAGCAATTTTTGTTGAAATTAGACCCTTCCATTATTTAATAGTAATACCACTATGCACAGAAACTAAATATAACATGTCAACTCCACAAAAATCAATATTTAAGTGTCAGAGTTACTGCTCTATTATCAGTTTTTTCTTTCTTCCTCATCTATTTATGATACAATTAATACGTAACATTTCGTGCCGTTACCAGATAATCACACCATCTTAAATTCTCACAGTTATTTATTTCTACCTATATTAATCAATACATAGCTAGTAGCTAGAGCACTGACTGTACAGTTAACTTAGCGACGGACTGCTAATTATCCTATGACAAAATCAATAATCGTCTTTGCATAATAACTTCTCCTTATCGTCTCTCTATCTCATATAAAATAAAAATATATCTTAACTCTAATCATGCTGAATTTGTTTAAAATTCAGTAGCAGTTCAGAGACTTGACAAAAGTGCAAGGCAAACTTGGCTCTTTGTGACAAAGGCAAATCATAAATCAAAAGGTAGAGAAGCAATGACCTTGACCCCTAAAAGATTTTATTTTTCTTTAATATTTCCTTATATTTTTATAATTCACAACTTGGGTAAAACTGGCAGTTTTTAAAAGTAAAATAAATAATATTGTGTTATTTGTAGTTTTATAAAGAAACGAAAAGGCTTTTAGGGAGGTCTGGCAGTGCTTTTCTATGGCCAATTTGGGGCTGAAATTCGAGCCCCGTTCCCCTGCCCAAAATGTCTATTTAATTAAAAAAAAAAATTGTATATCTATTTTATTACAATAGTGAAATAGTTAGCCAAAAAAGTAATGGTATAATACATGTTTCACAATTTGACCATCAATTCCATTTATGAATTTCCCCACTTTTCCCCTCTTCAACACAATTTCCCCTGTCACTATTCCCCTACAAGTGAAGAAATCCTTAAATTAAGCATTAATCCTGAATACTTTTACCTTATGTTTCCATTAACTTAATAAATACTTATATTTACGCAGTAGAAACATTGCTGAATAATTGATTGCTCAGGCTTCCAAATTTTGAATTACCAGTGCATTTAAAACATGAATTATTTATACAAATATAAAGTTTATACAATAGTCTGACATAGCTAGCTGCAATATTCCATTTTCTAATACAAATAAATGCAACAAAAAGGCTCAAAAAATTAAAAAGATTCATATACACAGCAGTTTTAAAGGCACAGTATTCCTCTGAAATAAATTGTTACAAAATACATTGTAAGAAAAGAAAAACACATTTAAATAAATAAATAAATAAATATGAATAAATAAATAAATAAATAAATGGTTTTAGAGCATGTTATATGTCTGTGCTTATCACATGAAGAAAGTAGAGCTGAATGTAAAATTATTTGTCATGTTAACAAAGTAGTACATAGACTTGAGACTTCTATACAAAATACTTAATATATATAACTGTAGTCATTGCAAAAGGGCAACAGAAGCTAAAGATTGCTTTTGGCCAATGAACTTCTTTTTGGAAACAAAATAACAGGACACCAAAAATAAAAAGCTTTTGAGTAATAAAAATAAAAGAAATAAAATATAAGCATTTCTGGGACTTGATGGGCCTTTAATAACTTGAAGCTCATGATAAATTAGGGCACTTGTGATTAAAACTATTTTAGAAGGCATTAATATTTTACTATACCCTATGCAAGATATTTACTATGCTAATTTAATACACAACATCAAAAGTATTTTTACTCAGACTATTGGATAATGCTTTTGCCTGAGGGCAAGAATATATTACCTCATAATTAATAATTAATAGGCAATCAATATGCTAAGTGAAGTAGTTGAGCTGTTCATTCAATAAAAACAATTGTATTACAATATGATCATGACTGCATTATGCATACATACATATACATGTATCATAATTGGTAAATCAAATTTATGTTTCCCCATCATCAATTCCTGGCATTTTTTCCTTATTTAGTTAGAATGCTAACAGGGTTTTTAAAAGATTGATGATCCATTCCACTATTTTGTTAGTCCATGGATGAACAGTGTTACAGCAAGACAAACAAGGGTAAATCTATATGCCCCACTCCCCTTAAGTAGTTTAAAACAGGAAAATTTTGCTTCAATTCACCACAACATTATTCAAGGCAGGAAAACATGATGAGAACATTATACATTCTCAACTAATGAAACCATTCACCAGTGTTAATATCAGCTGATATAATAAAATATACATACCCAAGTATCAGCTCGGTGGTAAATTCTTCCTGTGTTGTGTACGAGTCATCACTATCTTCATCCTCGCTGCAAATATCATCATCATCACCTAGATCACTACCTGTATACACAAATAAATAATGCAGAAATGTCAGTGATAACTCTTCACATCTATGACATTAATTAAAAACAATAAATTAACCATTACCATATCAACTTTGTATTATAGATTTGTTCAGTTTTAATTTGGAAGGTGTATGAGAGGGGCTAAAAAAATTACATATTAAATGTTGCAGTATTTTCTGCAGTATAACATGATCAAAATGCAAAATTTGTACTTAAATTGAGTTATTCATTTTGATTTGTGAAATATGCAGTGAAAAATAGCAAAATGGTGTGTTGATTTATACATTCCTCGAGATAGATTTCTCCAGTCTGCTCAAAGCAGGATATATTAGTTTAACTTTATACATATTCATTACAGCTCAACTGTGATGAAAAAGCTAAAATGAATCACACTCAAAATAATTTTCTGGGGTAAGCAGTTCTGGTACCATATAAGGACACATGGTCATGACAGCTAAAGAGCTCAAACCAGCAAATACTAGGTTGGGAGCCAGACAACTTAACCATTACACCACTGGTGAGTTGTCTGCCCCCTCACTTTTAATAAAACAGTTCTGTAAAAGGTACCAACTAGTGCTACATGTATTTATAATAATAAATTGAATGATTCTTTAGTCCTATTTATAATATTTAACTAAGATTCATTCCTAAGCTTTGACAATTACAGTGTAACCTCTGCAGAGAAGCCCTCTCTCCAGCAATAACCTCTATAACAACAACATTAATTTTTCCTAAACTTAAGTCTTCACAATAGAAACAACCATAATCAATGCTCCCAAAGGGTGTACCATGATGATCTGCAGATGTTGAACTTGATTGAAACATTTAGTTTTTTTAATAATTTATTTAAAGACTCACTTGTAGGTGTTGAGCTGCGGATAGATGGCGGAGAAGGAACTCTTGATTTTGCCTTTTTCTTGTGATCTGCGTCTTTTCTTATTGGTACACCTTTGGCAAAATGTCTGTAAAAATTCTTTTTAGTTTTACATTGAGCCAGGCAGAAAAAGAAAATATTGTAAGTTACTATGTATAATAAAGATAACTTGTCTTATTTTGTCTTAAACATGGTCATTATTTTATAACTACAATTAATCACTATCAATAATTTAAAAATTGAACTCATTCCAACAGAAAGCTATTATCAATAAATGAGGGGATTTACTTTGTACTTCCTTCTAGGTACAGATAAATTACTTCCTGGAGATAACACAAAATTTCATGATTACTGCTAACTAGACATATATCTATATGTTCTGCAATATGTGAACTTAAATGCTTACTTAAGAATATAACTGAGTGCTAAAGATGGTGGCTGTTGTCCTTCTTGTTTTTCTAGTATTTTAGGATCTGCATCTGTTGACAGACAATTAAATATAATTAATGGAATACATGTAATCAACAAAGATGTGTTCAAGTCATAACCTAGATATTAAAACAGCTGATTATGACATATATTTAGAAAAAGAACGTAGATCACCTAATGTATATTAGTAAAATAAATCATTTATCTCTTTAACGTACATTAACAGTCAGAAAATTAACATTTAAATCAAAGAAAATCAAAATGCTAAATCTACTTTCAGTTTCGGATTGACCTACTTTTTTGACAGCTGATCTCACTAAAACCGGAAGTGCGCAAATTCCCCGCAATTAAGTGTAAACATCGACAGATAGTGGCTTTTAAATCAATTTCTGAACACCCTATACCCATGTTTTATATCACATAAGATTCTTACCAATATGTGAGTCCTCGATGTGGTGTATAAGATCAGCTAAAGATGAAAAGGCACGTCCACAACCCTGAAATTTACAATTATTGAGAAGGAACACCGCCATTTGCATGTAAATATAACCTCGTTTTGAGGCTCATTAGCATAAACACCAGCCAGCAGAATGAATCTTTTTTCGTAAATTAATTAACTTTCTATTCGCAAGTACTCAAATTCAAGACAAAATATCATTTATAATGCAGATCAGAAGTTTTCGTTCCACAGATTTCTTAAAAACGTAAAAAATAAGGTAATTTGTTTACTACTGAGAAATATGTACAACAAATCGCAGATCAATACGTGACAATTTCATGTACATAAATGCTGAATATTGTTATTTCCATGCAAATAGCTAAGCCTAATCACGACTCTAATTATCATACTTAATAACTTAAAATTGTTAGATATATCATGTCCATTGACTCAATAGATGCATTGTCTAAACTTGAAGTAGTAAATCTAAAAGTTTTTTTATTCAATAAATCAGGCGGACAGACGAGCACATTACATGATTCACATTACACAACCTACCTATGTGGAAAATAGCTTGGGTACTTACCTGGATTGATATGCACCAGTCTTTATAAAAGTGTTATAACACATGACACATATTTGTGTTTTTTTTCACACAGTCTCTAATTAATTCACGACTTTAATAACAGCAGTGTCTATAATCTAATCTACATCACATCGGACGGTTATGCAAGTTATCGCCCACGCAAAACTGCGAACTATCTTTAAGTTTTACTTTAGACGGGGTTGATTTTCTCTGCAGTTGACCCCGGTCAATGGTAACACCAAAAGACAAGTCCATTATATAAATCCATCAAGAACATTTATTCAACTTGAGATTTCATGTACTGAAAACTTATCAAGCCACCGCCGGACGTCAGGGAAGGCCAATTACTGTAGTACTTCTACATGCACGTGCATCTGCGCACGGATATCATTTCACATGGACTTAAAATTATTGTTCTTGCATATGTTTTCTGTTGTATTATGGGTCTGTTTATTAATAAGTACACAGAAATTGTTCTGAATATATACATGAGGCGTGAAAGAAGTTATTTAAACAGACTTTAAAATCAAGCCGAGTTTGCAATTTTCATATTGTTGTTTGAGGGATTAGATCTACCCCCTTTTCCAGATTTCTTTATGGCTTTTGAAATTGCTTTTTAATAAATTACTCAGGCCTACCGTTCTTTCTGATTATATTTCTGTGAATTTGAACTCACACCGTGCGTGTTTTACAAAAATGCACTTAAATTTATTATCACAGCCTGTTAAAAGTCTCAACCCTGAGTACCGTATTGAGGATAGTGAGTTAGACCGGATATTTTATTGACGCATGCGCAGTGAGCTTTCTCCTTGTTGGTTGCAAAGGTTAGCGTTTGGTAAGCACAAAGTTTTCACTGTCATATCTGGATTTATCTTGGTGTTAGTAGAACATCGCGGTCTATACTTTGTAAAATTATTTCTATAACGGGTAAATGCAATAATTAAAGCGACTGCAATCAGTAATTTATTCGTACTTTCGCTTGATATTATGAATTATTATGTAGTAGTTACCGGTAAATCTTATATTTTATTTTCAGGCTTTGGTCGTATCGTAAATCACACATAAAAATGTACTGTTCAAGAATTGTTGCCCCAGCAACCAGATGCCTGGTAAGTGTTTTCGTACTTGTTTTGCATGCTTTTGAATTATGACATTCGTTTAGTTCTTTGGAAATTGAAAAATTCTTTTGAGGTCAAATAGGTTGCGGACAGCCATTTTTTGACAAGAGGATCGAAATTTTCTATCTATTGGAATTTAAAACGGTATGCTCATGCTTTGACAGTTACACTTATTGCAAGTGAATGGTAATTTTGAAATAATTACATTGTTAAAATGGCTTTATGGAAAGTAAAGTGGTTATAAGCAAGATTTAGACAACTTTTGACCTTGAAATTTTGCAAAACTTCTCATTTTTACTGCCTAGCAATGTTAGTTCAGTGTTATTTAAACAAACCTATCCCTTTTCGTTTGTATGGGAATATGGTTGAAAAATATTTTTGGGTTAATATGAAAGTTGAAACCATTTAACTGTTAATGACCCTTGTCTCTTGTGTAGACCATTTCATTTTCTTGTCGAGTGAATCTTGTGAATTAAATTCATTTTCTGAGCTTAAAAGTAATGTAATGGGCCCTGAAATGTATGTGTGTGTTACTGGAAGAAATGAAATGTTCTGTTTTGGGTGTTGTCATTATGTCCTTTGATGTGACATTTTACCCCACCCACTTGGCAACAAACTTGATCATTGTATCATCGCCATGTTAATTTGCTTTGGTTCAAAGATAAAGTTTACATCTCATTCTGACATTCTGGTGGATGCATCCGCTGGACCAACAACAGCAGTGCAGAGCTATATATAGTTCATAATTCAAGGGTATTGACTGTTGAATAATTACTGCATCATAGGGGTCATATTGTAAAGTACCCATACAACTGCCAATGTTGCTTCACCAAGTTATAACAATACTTGTTCTTGTAGACAGATGTTATTCATAAATGGAGTTTTACTTGACAGAGTAATTGAATAAATTGGTATTTGTTCTGTGATAGAAGTGGTCTTCTAAATGACATATACCCCACCCGCAGACACTTTACTTAATTTTGTCAAAAATAATTGCAATTAATTATTTATCCAATTCACTGATTGAAGAAAGACTGTATTTTATTCATTAACTCTTTGAATGAAAGAAAAGTGTTACGTCTAAGTAATATTAATGTTTAATTGTAGGTTTCGAGTGGGAGCAAAGCCATCAGACCAATCAGTAGCACAGTTGTATCAAAAGATGTAAGTATTCACTATTGTCGATCATTTCTAGAGTTATTTTAGTAGTGAGTAAATGGGTACATAAGTGGTGATGTGAAAGATCCTGATAAACATATCTAAAAACTATTTTATGGATTTGATTCTTTTGAAGCATTTTAAATTGATAAATTGTGGAAAGTAGTTATTTAGGTTGCTGAATATTATCAGGTCTAGGATTTCATGATATTTATGGACTGTCACTAGTGTCAGTAAATTTATGGATAGTCTATAAATTTAAAGATTTTTCAGTCCATAAATTTACAGATCCTCAATGTTGAATTTGCTATTTTTAGTTTTATACTAAAATCCGCAGCTTAAAACAAGTTGTTATATTGATTGTTTCTATTAACAAAGCTAATGAGATAAGTTTCATCTTTGTATGATGACTTTGAAATTTTTGTTAAAAGTGAAAATTGAAAGTCAACAAATTGTTCTGAATCTTATCATACTGTTACATTTAATCATATAATCAGTAAATTTATTCTTATTAGCCTGCGGTTTTTAATTTAAATACAACTTATACTATTTTCGCATTTAATGTCTATAAATTTACAGATAGAAAAATCTGTAAAATTATAGATGGTCCATAAATATACAGACTGTCCGTAAATATCATGAAATCCTAGACCTGATTATAGCTCTTCAGTAATGAAGGTTTGTAAGTCTTTTGAATATCCAATTTGGACATGTATTTAAATGGATCATGTTTTGCTCAATTACAGTGTAAGAAATTAGGATTTGAATCGACTAGGCTGGTCTGACTACCAAATTGGAATATTCACTAGCCTAAAAGACATTTCACTGGCACGATTCATTTGTTTAAAACAGTTGTTTATATTGCCTCTGAAAATGCATTAGCCTATTCGGACTTGTTACTGTGAAAAGTTGGTAGCCAGAGGTATGGAGCTATTTGACTACTGCTAATTTCGAACACTGCAATTATCATCCTTATTAACTATTTAAGAATATTAGGTGTTGACACATTGGGAATTTGATGTTGCTAAATTGGAGTGAATTGAATTGTAATTTGATGAACTAGTCTTCTGAAAACACTAAATTATTAAAAGCTGGTTATCAAAAATGTTGCAGATATTTGTTATAAAATTTTTTACATTTACTGAAATTTCTTTGTATTTTCAGAACTCAAACCTTAGTCTCTCACCAGTTACCACAAATGCTCTTATGAGCCAGGTAAATATCTTTTTGTTGTTTGAATCTTTATAATAAGAGTTTGACCTGCATTGATCAGCATTAAAATGTTTGAAAGTGAATTGTCAAATGTATATAACCATAAGATATATGGATAAAGTATGGATCAGACTTGACAGAGAAAAACTAGCTGGTCATACTATATTGTTTCAGACAATCAAATACAAATGTATATTAATTCTATGTTTTGTTATCATATTCTAACAACATGCCAAGTTGAAAGAAATTCTATAGACAGTGATTTTTTTACCTCTGCATCCTGAGTCCAGGACTCATTGAATTTGCTGTGGATGCAAAGTTTCAAATAATGTGCATCTTTTGGATGCATACTTTTTCTGAGTAGGGAGTCCTGTCTGACAGGAATTTGGTAATAAATACCAAATTGTGTTCAAGTTATGTCAATCATATTCTAGGTCTGCAATTCTTCTACAGATAAGAAATAATAATGTGCTATACTATAGATAAGCATAAGAATATTAAGGAAAATGAAGTTTTGATTAATCTCAAACTAAATTAATGGAAATAAACTTATAAAATTTATTAGATAGTTTTGAATAATTTCAGGATCAGAAGCATTATAATTAATGTAGAAATCAAATTCATTTTTTTCTTCATTCCATTGTTAATATACCTTTCATATCACTAAAGCAATATTAAGCCTTGTAACTTGGATTTGTCGACTAAATTTTGGGACTCATAGATTTATAGCCCAGCGAGTCCTTGGACCCACACTGATGAAGTTGTAAAAAAAATCACTGTATAGAACGGTTTTAATTTTGCCTATGTCTTTATGAAACCTTTTTAAAACGGCCTTAATAGTCCGTTTTTATGTCCATATGATATTTATGTACAAAGTAAATTCTTGAAAATTTCTACTTACCTGTACAGACTGTGGGAAAACTGGGCAATACTAACTGATTTTGCCACCCATCGTGAATAAGCAATTTTCTTGGTGTACATTTTAATTTTTTAACTGATTTTCTATGAAAGCATTTTATTTTTTTGCAGCTTAGAAATTTCCAGACCAGTGTAGCCAAACGTGATATTGATCAGGCTGCCAGATACATTGGAGCTGGAGCTGCCACTGTTGGAGTAGCTGGATCAGGTTTGTAACCTTATTACTTTTACAAAACAGCATTGCAACTAAAGTATATTAATTTTGGCAGTTTTTATAAATACCATTAAATATTCCAAATTCTGTACAATTTGATGAAATCAAAGTTGTTTAAACACTTCATGTTGAAATATCTTTTTTGTCAAAGAAAAATTTGGGTTGATTTTAATTTGTGTGAAAATTGCACTTTTCACAATTTCAAGAAAAAACAATTTGTTTCACAAATCAAGAAAATGTTGGGCCACATTCACAATTTTAGGGGGAAAGCCAGCTTTAGAACATTTAGATTTGGTTCAGGTAGTTTAATGGTAAAAAGGAAGGAAAGTAAAAGAAATATTGTACATGCCTTATGGCTATCTGAAGCTGAGAAACTCTGAGAACTGTAGTGTAGAGAGAAAAGAACTTATCAATGTTAAATAGTTAAAACTTTGCATTTTGATACAGTAATATAATGACTATTGTTTGGAGCGTATATTGCATTTTTGTTTCCAGAAATCTGATACAAATTGGTTGGTTTTGATCATTTGAACTAAGTATCGTACTTCATACATATAAATGACAATTCTCACAAAAACTGGTATTGTTTATTTCAGGAGCTGGTATTGGAACAGTATTCGGCAGCTTGTGTATTGCTTTTGCTAGAAACCCATCAATGAAACAGCAGTTGTTTGGTTACGCCATCTTAGGATTTGCCTTGGCTGAGGCTATGGGTCTTTTCTGTCTTATGATGGCCTTCATGATCGTCTATATTCTATAAATTATGCATTCTATAGACAATATTTTTGTTTGGTTGACTAATACATTATAGTGTGTGAGAGTAAAGTTTAAAACTATCGAAAACTGGTAACAGTGCTACAGGGAACAAACGATAATCCAGTTCTCATTTTGTGATAAATGCTCTACATCCGAGCTGTAAAATGTGCTTATTTATACGAAACGATTGAATAGATCAACTTTCTTTTTGGATTATCACAAAAGTTGTAAAAGTTTTACAAAAATAGAGAAAATAAAATATGTTAAAGATGTGAAAGTTGGTTGTTCTATGAAGCTTTTAACTTCACCCGCTTGGTTTGGGAAATAATTATGCCCTTTCGAAGAAGAGGGTTATATTGTTTTGCAAATGTTCGTCGGTAGACCACATGGTTTTCGCTGATTATCTTCAAAACTATTATCACAAAGTCTTCATATTTGACATACTGATTAATGATAACTAATAGATGACCCCTATTGATTTTGGGGCCAAGGTCACGGATGCCTTAATGTCTGAATGGTTTCCACTGATTATCTTGAAAACTATCACGGTCTTCATATTTCACAGACAGTGATTGGTCATCACTAGTAGACCCTATTGTTTTTAAGGTCAAGGTCACAGTTGCCTTGAAGTTGAATGTCAAAATGGTTTCTGCTGATTATCTTGAAAACTTTCGGTCTACATATTTGTTCACATACTGATTGGTATGTATATGACCCTTATTGATTTTGAGGTGTCGTTTCACATTTCTTGTCTAGTATTGTGTCGACCAGGAAAGTGCTCGCCTTTATATCTACAAACCATCCTACACCAGACAGTGGCACTGTTCTCCATTGAAAGCTTTCAGATCATATAGAATTTGAACTTCTTAAAACATCTGAAGGAAACTTGTTGCAATATAGCGCTTGTTCATCTGTCTGTATGACGTTATAATTTAGCAACATTAATGTCTGCTCATTAGAACCGCTGAGGTGAGGATTGTCGCGCCCAATAGATAACCCCTTATGCAGTCTTAAGGTCAGACTCCGTGACCCGGCAGAATCCTGTAGAAGAAATAAGCATCGGTTGATGGCCAGCAGACGACCTGTTGAGGTCAAGATCACAGCGACATTGGAAATTTAACAATAACTTTAGAAGAAAGCTAGTATAGGTTGATGAAACTGAAGGGTTACAGTGGTGATGAAATATTTGAAGGAATGCACATTGTCGATTGAAGGAAGAGGTATGCAATAGAGAACTACTGAATTTGATCAGTCATCAAACTATTTTTATACGCCCGAAAGAATTTTGGCACATACATGTATTGTGAACACTTGCCCAGATACATATTAATACTGTACATATTTATCTATCTTGCCTCTTCGGACAATACGGTCATCAGTAAAAAAGTATATTCCCAGATAATATCTAAAAACAAGTGATATGCAAGAGGAAAGAGGTGGTCAAGTGGTTATGGTGTTTGTCTCTCAACAAGAGGATCGTGGGTTCGAGCCTAACTGGGTCACGATGGTGATTCTTCATATGGTGCCGGTTCTGGTTTGTTCCGAGAAGTGCACTCAATAGCGGTGCAGATAAGCTACAAAGTTTCGACTCAGTTGAGCTGAAATAAACAAAATTTAAGCAAATAGTAATATGCACTCATTTGCAACATGTTAACTTGAAAATTTAAATGTCATTTTGAATTGAGCATTCGTCGGTAAAATCTCCGCCTACTTTGGCCGCACCACAAGACCTTCAATAGCGTTATTGTGTTTTATGTTTATAAATATATACGAGTATTATCAATTCTTAAAAGATTTGACGGAACTGGTATCAATCAGATAGTGCCAATAAATTGACAACACTGATTAGTTCGAACGAACATTGTATACATGTATATCGAAATAACAGAAAGGCTGGGTATTGTGGAACGAATATCACAATCCTCAATGAAAAGACAAACCATACAGTATGTTTTTAATAAAAAAGGCAGCATTCTTCCCCTTTTATTCTGAAGTCAATGTCGGGGAGATTTTCGTGTGGCATGGTCGTTTTTTTTAACTTCTGTATATAAATTGTACATTTTTTTCCGAGTGGAAATCTCCCAGACATTTTGTTTTGTATACGTCTTTAAGCCTTATATAGATGTGAAGAAAAACCTCCAAACTGATGGAAAAAAAATGAATCTGCAACGGAATCAGACAAATGGTCTTTTACCAGATGGCTGGAGAAAATCGTGTTTTTTTACGAAAACTTCTACAATTTATAGACAGAAAGAACAAATCGCCGGTCAAAAAATGGCTCTATAGTAACAAATAGACTTCAAATATTGCAAAAATACCAATGTATTTGGATACATCTATAACTGACCATGAAACTTAAATTCAGATAGATAGCAAGCAATATGAAGATGGTGTTAATCAAATTGCCATTTTATACCCTTACTTACGGCTACCAGAGAGGTCTAAAGGTTTGCCGTCCGTCTGCCTGTCTCTAAAACTGAGATCACTTTTAAAATTACTTTGATCTTTTCAACATATTTACTTTACTTAGAGTAAAGTTGAAACATATTGACATTGCTTCTGAGAAAATTTTATCTTAAGATTATCTATTGTAAAAAAAACTTTAGTATAATATTATATAAAATATTTATAGGCGATTAAGATTTGGTGTTGTTTTAATGAGCGTCTTGTAAAAAAATAACTCTCCGTATCTGATTTTGCAAAATATGTACACACTTTTGAAACTGGTTAAAGTAAACATTTGTTTGAGCTATAATACCATAACAATTGTCAAACATCTTCACCCCCCATCCCAAATGCCAAACGCGCAAAAAAACAACAAAAAAAAAACAACATAAAAAACAACAAAAAAGAAAAGAGCAACAACAACAAGCACAATAACTCTCTCCCTCCGAAAAAGAAAAACATTTGTTCGTATCATTTCAAGTTTAAAGCATATTTTCAAATCGATAGTAAAAATAAGAATTCTGTCCATAACACTTGCTCACGAAGTCATTAAAGTTGAACTCGGAGCACAATAAAAGTGGAGTTCAAAATGCTTGCAATTTTAGAAGAAAACGCTAGGTCTAAGTGCTTTCAGCAAAACTTTAACAAGAAATACTTTAATAAGACTTCTACTTCAGGAAGTTTGGCTTGACATTTTCAAATAAAATATATCTTACATATGTCTTCAAAAAATTAGTTTTGTATAAGGAAGTTTTACGCAATTTCATGAGACTTACCTCAATATAATTATGTGTATCATTATTTTATTGGAACTGTTCTAGAGTTGTTTGTTTTTTGTTTTTTTTTGCTTTACATATTGTCAAACGCACTAGCACATACCTTTCATTTTTGTTCTTATAACATGTATATAGGATCTCACGTAAGCTTATATTTAGTTTAACTCTCATCAAATATATTAATTGGACTTGTCCATCTTTCAATATAAAGAAAAACTCACCATTGTTATGAAAAAACAAACAAAACAAACAAAACAAACAAACAAACAAACAACAACGTACTGAATGAAAACCGAACAGTGCAGAGAATGATCAGATGGCACAGATGTTTGATCATTGTCAGCAGTGGTGGCATCGGTAGAATTTGTTGTCGCTAGCTTGAATGTTCTTAGTGAAAGCTTCAGCGTATTTGAATCACTATTCAAAATCACTTTCTATAACTAACCAGTTCTGGTGTCATAAAAGAAAAAAAAATGGTCGTAACCCCAGTAGGGGTCGAACTCATGACTTGAGTTCAGAGGGACATATCCTATACACAAAGCCACCTTTTCCCTATAACTTTACTTTATCTTATACACAATACCACCTTATCTATATTTTGCTTTTACGTTTAATACAAAATTAAAACAAAAACAATTGTACTCGTCTCATTCTTTTATAAAATAATGAAAATATGAGCATAATGTCACTTTAAAGTAATCACAATTTCCCAGAATTAGTCTGTAGTTCAAGCATTTTTTCACAAAGTTTTTATTCCAATTTAAACAAGACAGAATAAGTTTTCAGTATTAAATTACGAAAAAGTCCTCTAATTAAGCATTTATTTTATCGTAGGAATTTGTGAAAGAAACGCTAGTTTAGGAAAACAATCAACACATTCTACTTAAATGTTATTCCTAACCGTATGGTATTGGAAACCTAATTATATTTTGAGCAATTAACTGGAATATCTTTAAATAGATAAACATTACGAAACAGTGAAATTTATGTTTCCTATAAGTTAATTATGTTTATTAAAACTTGGATGAAATAATTTTCGTGAAATAATTATTCCTTATTTTGTTTCTTAATTTAGGCAGAGAATTATTGACGAATGTATACAAGGTTATATAGTAATATAAAATCACTTCAAGAAACCTAATGATAGCTTCGACAAAAATACGTTATTCAGCACATACTCTTCGTTTGTAATTGCAATGCAGTTGAAGATGAATACCACTTTATTTTTTGTTTTCCCCACAATATAACGAAAGACATATTGTACGACAAAATATAATTTCCAAAGACCAATTATGTTGAATTTGTAAATCTATAATAAAATTCTGTTTAGTTATTTTTTTCGAGGCTTTTAAAGTCAAATTAAATCAAATATGTCAAATTAGACTGTTAGTTGTAATTTTGTGTATTTATAAGTATATTTTTATATTTATAATTTTCATGTCTCCAATTTGTACTTGTTGGGCAATTTGAAGATTTAAGCAATTTTATTTTGTTTACACATTAATGCGTTAATCTATTATTATGCATGTTCATCCTATATGTATAATTCAAAATATTAATTTATCACATTGTGGTGTATACGATAAAAATATATTACATTTATGAAGGTGGTTCATTACTAATTATAAAGTTATTAAACTCGGATGCGTATGATCTATTCCATTCGTTTAATAAATTCATTGTCAGTAGTAACTGTGCATATTAGGTACAATGAATATGTTCTTTCCTGGTCTGCTATCCCGATTTCTTCATATTTTTGTTAATGACTTTACGACAGGATATTTGTAAAAATTTAAACAATATTGATTCAATCTTCCTAAATCTAACAATAAAATAGTACGATTTTGGCATCACTTTGCAGTATCATATAAACCCGAGAGAGATTTTCAAAAACACATTTATCATTTTCATGAAATTGATACACTGAGTCCAATTGTTTCGTTTTATAAAGTACCCAGAAATTGACACTATTTAAGCTACATCTTTTATTTTCCTTTGTTGCCTTCGTAAGGGACTCTAAACACAAACATATCACGCTTGGGAGATTTAGAGAACG